TATAAATCTATGTACAGTATATCACAAATCACCCAGCATGCACCCAATATTACAAGATCTCGGATGCGAAGCAGAGTTGAGCCTTAATAGGGCTTGTATGGGTGACCATCATGCACAACAGATCGCACACAGTGACTCAGGAAACCATCCCAAAGATTAATAATTATTTTCATTAACCATTGCTCGAGTTGCCACCTGTCGTGGCTTTCCCCGGATTGTGCCATGTTTTTGAGCTCACTGTCCTGGGAAATCTGTAAGTCATCCCGGGAATATTAAGAGGTCCTGGTTTTGTAAGTTTCATTATAATGTACCGTTCAAGACAATGCATGTACATGGAGTTCTCCCCTGACCTGCTATTGTGATATATTCTTCTACCAATGACATATCCTATTTTTGTTTTACCTCCAGAGGTGGCAACCATAACGATTACCTATACGGACAAAAAAAGCAATAATGCCAATAGGCAGGACAGACGCATTCTAGACATTGGTGGTAACCAGTGACAGTGATTGCTACATGAGAGAGCCATTCAGAAATGTTATGGACTCATCGCGTGCACTGGAATACATTCAGCGTGGTCTAGAGTAGTGTCTTTCAACTCCAGACCTTGCGAGCCATCCCCCACGGTCCACCTCCTCGTGATTACGGTACCACTCCTTTTATAGGTAAAGGTGCAGCACTGCAATTACTTGCTCATGCCACTTTGTGAAAGGGCCTCCACTAGAGGACGCTCTAGAGAGCACGGCTCGGCGATTATGCACAAGCTGAATGGATGAATGGAGAGCCCTTCTAGAGGGTATCTGGCTTCCTCTTCCACACTGGCCTAGGTGTCTTGGAAGAGGTGGTAGTTACCCACATTTACCCCACCGCATGTGACCTGGTAATTCACCGTCACAAATATTAAAACAAAAAATCACATGAATATTAAAAGCCACCACACACACTGCATGCACCGGATGGTTGGTAATCATCACGGTAATTGCAGAACTCCGCACCGTGAGGAGTAGCAAGGACTGGAGTTGAGAGACTCTGGCCTGCATTGTATCTCTTCCCCGATCAGCCTTATCCTCGTAGGGCATTTCACAGCAGTGAACATTTCACAGAGTCTTTCAATTTTTCAGTCATACGCTGGCCAGTTATTCTTTTTCCACAGTAAATCTAAGGGTTACAATTGAAGACTGTGCGCTTCCGCCCATGACTGATCACTATAATATAAACGCGTCCAGTGGACGTATAAGTCTGGCGGTTTCCCCAGATGCCCGTGTCCCACTTATGTGCAGCGTCTTGAGACGCCACCGCATTTAGACGCAACATAAATCTAAATTCTAATGCACTGTAAGTGCTGTTGTTAATGGGTTTCCTCCTTTGTAATTAATGCTCAGCCACTTAGAACCCTCGACGCGACGCTTTAAAAGTGCTATCGACATCTTGGTTACGTTAATGTCAGAAAAAAGGGTCCTTTCAAAGCAGGCTGGAAATTAGCCATGATCGTGCCAATGTCGGTAACATTTACCCGCACGGGCATGCTTAACATTTAAGGTAAACCTCGTTAGAGTTCCGACCATCCACCTGCCCTCTGCACTCACAAGGTGTTTCCTATTTGTGAGATGCATTCTTCTTATTTTCCCCAAGCCATTGTGCAGGTAACAGCAAGGGACCCAGAAGTGGCACCAAAAAAAAAATCCACGTTTATTTACGCTTTGTCGCTTGGATAAAAGGGAGCACATTTTTTGTGGATAAATGTCGATAAAACGATCAACCCATAGCACTCCCCATATCAAATTGGATCAAATGTGTTTGGCCATACATTGAAAAAGCAACACAGTACAGACGTATGAACCCAAACTGGAATTACAAATAAATAATTTGTAAAAAAAAAAGTATGCATCATTTTTCCTTTAATCCTTTTTATGAAGATTAAACTGTCCGTGCATCTTGAACGTCCTACCAGCGTTTGTGATGGGTGTTTAATACTATCAACAATACTATCAACATAAGTTCAAATATATATTTTTATCCAAAGGTATACAAACCTAGAAGATTGTTCATATACGTGGATACATTGTCAAACTATATATTTAGTAAAGATTCTACATGTTCATCAATAACACTGCATTCAGTAGAAATAAAACTCATTTGGATTTGATGTCCGTCTCCTTATCATATTTCCAAAATAACGAAATGGAATGTGCCTTTTCTTCCTCATACATGCAGTGATTATCCATTTATATGCAACAATATGACAAGATAAATAATATATATTTGAGAATAAATTACCTTTTCACTCGTACTGCTTCATCCTTGTACCTTTTTGCCATCGCTGCACTACCCAGCACAATTACAATGGAATAAATACACTTTATGAATACAGTGTAATGCGAGCACACTGTATCATAGTTTAGTCAACCGCATCCATTAACACAGGCTTTCGCGACCAATATTGTCCATAATACAGGTTTTTTTTGGGTTAGATCGGGTAAATATATTTTCCACAAATCTGGCTGTTGCCTGATGCTAGTTGTATATTACTGGCGAAACGTCGTACTCAGATTATAAAAGTTGTGGATTTACTCTCCAACATACCGGTGTGCTGAACTAGTAACGAATTGGCGTATTCTGTTTACGTGACAAACCTTACTAATTGGCTGTGTCGGGTGGTGGCGGGTTTAATGATACATTTATATATTTACGCGATCTAACCCAAAAAAAACAGTTATGAACTGCATCCGTTTCCACGCAGCATTACCTTGAACCTGCGATCACTGTATCGTGAAAGTAATGAACGATGCTATTAGAATGTGGCGTCCCTTAGCTGGCCCGAAATTATAATAAACGTCCAGAGATATAGAAATAAACTCGGTTAATTTGCATATGCGTGCAAAGGCTAGCGATTGTGCGTATGTCCTAGATCCAGAAATGTATACAACCGTATATTTTACTGCTTTGATGAGGTGGCTGCAATATTGTGTGGCTGTTAAAGTTACATTCGTGCATAATCATTCAGAGATAATGTCTTAATTACCAACGACTCCATTATTCTCATAATCACTACACGTCAGATAAAACTGCTTCAAGTCACGTTCGAGAAAGATAAATGTGTGAAATCCTGTTAATTCGATAATTTTTCAAATAGGATACCAGAGACAATGACATTGGCATTTTGTTTAAAAGAAAATCCCTTAGATAATCAAATCAGAATTTAAAAAAATTGCCATCCCAATTTATTTTTTCCTAAGCAGGCATTTCCATAAGCGTCATTACTTTAATCAGGACCCACTGCGGTTTACACTGGATGCATGTTTTATAAGGATTGATTAATAATTCATCGAGCCATAAATCATTGCAAACTCAAGGCGATTTCGAAATGCGTCGATTTGTGAGAACAGCAACTGCCCATCGAATTTAGCTTGTCCAAAATCGCATTTTTGGCAGGGTCCACTAAAAAGTGTAGTCACATCGTTTTTGCCCTTGACACAATGGTGTTTTATGACTTGGGGGGTCCCACGCAGTGACCCACGCAGGACAATGCGCATTGTGTGTTTGAATAAACATCTACAGTGTGTTATTTTTATTCTTTCGTGTGTGTGTGTGTGAATTACAAACATCCCAAATGATTGTGAAAACGCACAAGGGGGGGGGGGGGGAGCTGCTGCGCACGTGTCTTGCTACCGCCATGAATCATACTCGCCCTTCGCTGCTGTACGACCACTGCGCGCATTTGGGTGCGTTGGCAAGGGTGTTCACGGGCATTCGTACGGAAGGCCCACGGAGAGAGTGACTCATATATCGCGCCTGAGGAATACGAGTGGGCTCCTTTTGAATCTCGATGACCAGCGGGAACACCAGCGTTGTCGCAATCCGGCTACGGCAGTGCGATGTAGCGTTAGGGGACAAGATCAACGATCGTTGTTGTCGCGTCCGCTTTGCAGAGCATCGTCACGTATCGTGATTGTTGTTCGTTTCATCCGCTTTTTACGCGTAGATTTTCTTTCCTGACGAACTATGCATAAAATAACAATGAAAGTTCACAAGAATAATTAAAGTTGCAAATAATATGTATTACCCATTAAACACGTGCTTTCTAATGCATTTCCTGGAAAAAATTGGCTTCGTGGTGGTTATTATATAACATCATCTTCGTAATTTAATGACAACATGTGCATGATAAGCATGAAGGGTTTGTAAACGTGCAATGATCACAATACTTTTGGCAGGTTTTATCGAGTAAACTGCAGTTCGAATACATTTTGAGCCATCTTTATGCATACTTGAAGTACATCAAAGCACAACAATCATACAGTAAAAATGTGAACGTTAAGGGAAAACAACATCACGGTAATCAACGTATTGTGAAATAATACGGCTTATATCATGAACAATAATATTGGCAATCCTACTTGGTAGCCTCACAGAAGCCCCTCGGTGAGGATGATTCATGGGCACTGAGGAATACACGTGAGCTCCCGTTATTTTGCAGGCTTACAGTGAATTCCCATGCGCGTTCGGAGCTCGCCTGTGCTCGTGGGCACTCAAGTGTGTGGGTGCGCGTGTGTGCGCGCGTGTCTCTCGCAGTGGGGAGCGATTCCCGATCATGGCCACCGTCGTGCGCTTTCAGATGCGCTTCTGCGACCGTCTGGAACGCTCTTCCTCCCGATATTATGAAGCCAATGGAGCCTTGCGCTTTTAAATCAAGACTCAAAACTAATTTCCTTAGAACTGCTTTTTGTGTTTAAGTTTGTTGCCCCTTTCCCCGCACCTCCAATTAGAGATCTGAATCAGTTCTGGGTCTCCCCTAGGTCGACTCAGCCTCAGGTGAGTACCTGGTGGTGGTGTGTACTTAAACAGCGCCACTGGCGACAAAGGCAGCCGGGCGTGGTAGTTGGACACCCACCCCCCTCGTGTGCCGTGCCGACCATCACAGGTGCTACTCGCGAACAGCGTTTGCCCCAACAGTCTGTTAAGGCTACAGGGGGGATCTTTGTCTTCGTGCCTCCCCGCAGCATGACGTGGAGGAGGTGGACCCTCGCGGGCGCACGCCTCTGCACCTGGCCGTCACCCTCGGGCACATCGAGTGCGCCCGCCTTCTGCTCAAACACGGGGCCAATGTGGCCGTGGAAAACCGGCAAGGATGGTCCGGTAAGCCTCCCCGAGTCGTTACCTGGCAGCACCCTCGCTGGTAATTAGCTAACCCCCACTGCCCCCCGCCCCCGGCGACTGCTGGCCAAAGGTTGCTGTTGCCGCTCCATTTTTGGAACCGGTGGGTGTGTCTTAAAGGATATCTGTGTTTGCTGGCTGACGCGGTTGGAGTGTGGCTTCAGATATTTTTCCATGCCTCCGAGCTCACAAAAGTGAAGGGGTTCACTTCTAGATTTGAAGCTTTCGTGACTGCAAGGATCCATACTCTTTGGTTCTATTCGGTAAAGTCACGTGGGTAAAAAATAAAACGACAAAAATCACGACGTTTCGGCCACAACACAAGCGGCCTTCATCAGGTGAAGGGACCAGACTGTCTGGTCCCTTCACTCCAGCGCTGTCCTCGAGACAGTCTGGTCCCTTCACCTGATGAAGGCCGCTTGTGTTGTGGCCGAAACGTCGTGATTTTTGTTGTTTTATTTTTTACCTACGTGACTTTACCGAATAGAACCAAAGAGTAGGGTTCACTTGTGTTGAGCGAGTGAACACAATCTGTACGAGCGTCTTCTCAACATTACAGTACAAACACAAATTGGATTTATATATCAAGCTCAATGCAACCCCTCATCTCACGGTGATGTACAGAAACAGTGGCCTTGTTTTAGAGAGAAATACAGTCGTAGGAAGAGGAAAAAAGAAAGGTCCCGTAACCTGGATTTGATCAGGGAGTGGATAGTACGGATGGCTGGGAGTTTTTGACCACGGGGACAGCTGGGGAAAATGATCGATAGAAATCCTCGGTTGCTCATCCATTCACTGTGGTGTTTTGCCAGTTCAGGCCACGTACCTCCCCCAGCAGTGCGGCGGCATGGATTGCACTCACAATGATGTGCAACACATCCTGGCACACTCTATATTACAGTTTGATTTTAAGGAAAGAGTAAGAGCCCAGGAAACCTATATGGAGAGCAAACCAGCAAAAACTTAATTCGTCACTTCTCATTCAAGGGCTTGCAAAACTCAGCCTCTGCAGCGTTCGCATTTTGGGACAGCTTTGCCCGTGACACACATAATGAGAATAATTGAAGGCCCTCACTGGAAGCGGGCGGCGGCGGTGGTAGTTCCAGGCCGTTGTGGGTGCAGTTGCTCATGTTGTGGCGCGTGCCCCCCCCCCCTCCCCGAACCTCTGTCTGCGGGGCTCAGTGCTGCAAGAGGCCGTGAGCACGGGTGACCCCGACATGGTGCAGCTGATCCTCCAGCACCGTGACTACCGTAGGGTGACGCGCCGCCTCGCCGGCATCCCCGAGCTCATGGCCAAACTCCGCAAGGTGGGCGAGGGAGGGAGGGAGGCTCGAGAGTGCACTTGAGATGGAGGAAGACCCTTTAACTCTTTTATATCACCGGGGAAAGAAATGCTGATGCACACAGTAATAATTAGGTGTTGAACGTTTCACAAACTCACCCTCACCGTAGCCACGCCTTTCCCAGAAAGTCTGTAAATTGTCACGAATTGGGTCGTAATTTGATTGGAGATAAAAAAAAAATCAAATTTTTAACTGTATTTTTTATATTTCTTATTGATGTTTTTTTATATATATAATTTTTTTTTGTCCGGTCCATTTGATTAACTGTAACATCCTAGTTTGTTGAAATCGTAAAAACATCTATTCTCATGTGCACAATTTATGTATTTATCCTCAACATTCGATTCATTAAAATGTTTGATTCTGCATCATGACATGGCTACACAGCAAACAGCTCCAAACTTCACCCGGTTGTGGTGGGTAGCGGTGGGCTGCAAAGCTTGAGTTTAAGAAATTGGCAGCGAACCAAGTATAAGCCCTCTTCAAACACGAACCAGCAAAATTAATTCGTCACCCTGCCCCTCAGAAGTGCTGCTTCAGCATCCGTGTGCACGTCTGCATTATGCTCAAGAAGCATTCGACAGCACGTAATTTACCATTGTCTTTGATTTTAGTCCAATAATGCCCAACCCTAACCTTGCGATGGCCGACTTTGAGAAAACAATCTCCTTTTTTATATATAATGTTATCTTTCAGCGGTGTCTTATAAGTGCACATTTGACCCGTGATATGAAAACAATATCCTTTCCTGCTTTATTGTGATGAAGAGGAAGTGACTTGGTGTCGTTTTCTGTCCGCTCAGCAGAGAGCGAGTGGCCGCACTGATGAATTATGAGGGAAACAAATGCATTCTTGTCAGTTGCTGGATCGTGTAAAAGGCTGTGTAAAGGGAGCAAAGTCTCATTGAATGACCAAGACATCGTAATGGGCCACCTGATTTACAGGCAGGAGACCGTTGCACTGTCGAATCCTTGTTCGAGATGACATGAGCCAGTTTTGGCATTGAACAGGGCCAAATGGTTCAGATGGAGGTGATCGTGCCAATAACATGTGATGATACAGCAGTTTTTGTTTAGCTAGCATGAACCTGCTGGTTATGCACATAAGGTGAAAATCGGTCTAGAATTTGCTTGATTTTAACAAATGTTGCTGGTAAATATTGGTCTACAAAGCCACAAGGCCGATGGACTAAAACATTATATTTGCATATAAATGTGGAGACAATGTGGTTCATTCTGCTTATATATGCTTTAAAATTCGAATTATTTTTAAGTGAGACCCATACTGTTGGCAAGTTTGAAGTTAAATCACCAACATGAACTCGATGACCTAATCAGATTTCTTAAGCAAATATGCGATGATCTTTCTATAAGTTAGCTCGGTGTCTTTATATATAGTGTATTAATAAAAAAAACTTTATTAACTACACGGGCCATTAAGTTGTGGTTAAACTATTCCTTCTTGTGCATTAAATAAATTTGCCTTGATAACATGTTAGTGTTAATGGCAATGTCTGCTTTAAATATGCACCTTCGTAAAAACTGTAATTCCACGAACAAGGCAATTTGATTGTTGTATAAAATGAATGTGTTTCTTACCTTATCAAAAGTTAACTTTTTAACAGTTTATTATATACCAAAGCACAAACAAGCACTGCGATATTTCAACCAATTTAACGATTTGTAAGTATATTTAAAATATATCTGGAGCCCGGCTATGGTTCAGCCAGGCTTACCTTGATGCAATCGGAGTGGTATCAAAGAGCACATTCTACACGGCCAATTTGGAAACGCAGAGAATAGTTTTAAGGCAAATATGATCTTGTGGCTTCACATTACTGACCGTGCACTGGGGCCGGTTGTTCTCAACATCTTTGGTATGGCGCCCCCCCCCCCACCCCCCCCAATGAAGGCCACTGGTCCCTCGGGGCCCCCTCTCCTCTTCCCTTGCCCCACTTACGGCACTTAAAAATCTCTATTTGCATGCGTGAGTTGTTGAAACCGACGGCTGCTGTCCAGTCAATGCTGTGTTAGTAATGCGTTCATTTCGCGTTGTGTACAAGTACGTTATTGTCGCGGCGAAGTGGTGCTGATGTTTCCCACGCACAGTGGATTTTTTGTTTCCTGCACGGTATCCATGCACCGACCTGTAAGCAAGCAAAAGGGGGGAGAAGTTTTGCAATATTGAGGAATTAAAGAAAATAGGTTGAGGGTAATCAGTTTGTTTGCCAATCTCTGTCATTGGCAAAAATGATATAATAATTGGAGGAAGCTTTAAGCAATGTTATTAACTTTCCCTCTGAAATATTATTTCAAAAGCGTATCTAATTACTCGGATATGTGTGTTCAATATGCAGCAGTGCACAAATTTGTGATGAATAGCTGCAGGAATCAATTTGATTTTAGACAACAATAGCTCGCTTCTGACTCATTTTCTCTTCTTTGCAAACAGGCAACAGATTTCTACGTGGAGATGAAATGGGAATTTACAAGCTGGGGTGAGTATGGACATAATCTATTTACACAACTACAGTGAGGGAAAAAGTATTTGATCCCCTGCTGATTTTGTACGTTTGCCCACTGAGAAAGAAATGATCAGTCTATAATTTTAATGGTAGGTTTATTTGAACAGTTAGAGACAGAATAACAACAACAAAAAATCCAGAGAAACGCATGTCAAAAATGTTATAAATTGATTTGCATTTTAATGAGGGAAATAAGTATTTGACCCCTCTGCAAAACATGACTTAGTACTTGGTGGCAAAACCCTTGTTGGCAATCACAGAGGTCAGACGTTTCTTGAAGTTGGCCACCAGGTTTGCACACATCTCAGGAGGGATTTTGTCCCACTCCTCTATGCAGATCTTCTCCAAGTCATTAACGTTTTGAGGCTGACGTTTGGCAACTCGAACCTTCAGCTCCCTCCACAGATGTTCTATGGGATTAAGGTCTGGAGACTGGCTGGGCCACTCCAGGACCTTAATGTGCTTCTTCTTGAGCCACTCCTTTGTTGCCTTGGCCGTGTGTTTTGGGTCATTGTCATGCTGGAATACCCATCCACGACCCATTATCAATGCCCTGGCTGAGGGAAGGAGGTTCTCACCCAAGATTTGATGGTACATGGCCCCGTCCATCGTCCCACAAAGCATAATGTTTCCACCTCCATGTGTGATGGTGGGGATGGTGCTCTTGGGGTCATAGGCAGCATTCCTCCTCCTCCAAACACAGCGAGTTGAGTTGATGCCAAAGAGCTCCATTTTGGTCTCATTTGACCACAACACTTTCACCCAGTTGTCCTCTGAATCATTCAGATGTTCATTGGCAAACTTCAGACGGGCATGTATATGTGCTTTCTTGAGCAGGGGGACCTTGCGGGCTCTGCAGGATTTCAGTCCTTCACGGCGTAGTGTGTTACCAATTGTTTTCTTGGTGACTATGGTCCCAGCTGCCTTGAGATCATTGACAAGATCCTCTCGTGTAGTTCTGGGCTGATTCCTCACCGTTCTCATGATCATTGCAACTCCACGAGGTGAGATCTTGCATGGAGCCCCAGGCCGAGGGAGATTGACAGTTCTTTTGTGTTTCTTCCATTTGCGAATAATCGCACCAACTGTTGTCACCTTCTCACCAAGCTGCTTGTCAATGGTCTTGTAGCCCATTCCAGCCTTGTGTAGGTCTACAATCTTGTCCCTGATATCTTTGGAGAGCTCTTTGGTCTTGGGCATGGTGGAGAGTTTGGAATCTGATTGATTGATTGCTTCTGTGGACAGGTGTCTTTTATACAGGTAACAAGCTGAGATTAGGAGCACTCCCTTTAAGAGGGGCACTCCCTTTAAGAGTGTGCTCCTAATCTCAGCTTGTTCCCTGTATAAAAGACACCTGGGAGCCAGAAATCTTTCTGATTGATAGGGGGGTCAAATACTTATTTCCCTCATTAAAATGCAAATCAATTTATAACATTTTTGACATCCGTTTTTCTGGATTTTTTTTTGTTATTATGTCTCTCACTGTTCAAATAAACCTACCATTAAAATTATAGACTGATCATTTCTTTGTCAGTGGGCAAACGTACAAAATCAGCAGGGGATCAAATACTTTTTTCCCTCACTGTATACACATACTAGTACATACCGGAATCAAACAGCTTTGCCTCAATTCCCACACTCCTTTGTAGCTCAAAAGTAGTTTTACCATGTGTATTCAATGTTATTATTTATTTGACCAAGTAGGGCCCACTGACCTATATTGCTTTTTTTCAGAAGCAACCTGGCCACAAATGATGCTCAACGAAGTAGCTTTGTCATGTGGTAATTTATAGCAGCCAAATACTCCAAACTCATGTTGATTCTGAATGTGGAGGGAAAAACTGGAGGACCCGGATAAAAATCCACGCGAATACAGCAGGGAGAACATGCAAATGCCATATATACAGGTGTTAGGGTCGGGATCAAATCCACGACCTCCTGCATACCAGGCGAGGGATCAGACATCTTGCCACTGGGGCACCCCAACAACAGAGCAATTCACCATAGGGCAAGGGTACAGTTAATGCTACACAACTCAACAATATGCGAAAAAGCAATACTTTTTGGCCAGATTAACATTGGTCATCTACTGTACACGATCCGCTGCTGGACTAGGGCCTCGCCATGCCATGTGGATCGTGGGGGGTTATTTGACTATACGTCACCACGCTGCATTTTAGATCGTTTAACTTTAAACTTTCAGCGTTAAAAATGGCATTGAGAACACAACGTGCCAAAAAAAACTCAACACACCCGACATGTGACATGAAGAAGGGCCATTGCCCGAAACATCACCAATTTTACATAATTTTTTTTCTTTCAAGACAGTTAAGTGTGAGTTGTTTTGTTGATTGTTTTGTTAATTGTGCTTGTGCAACACTGGCCAATGCAGCATACTCAAATAATTTACACAAATGTGTCAGAGCAGTTGATAAAATACGCTCACTCTGTGTGATGTCTGATTTGAGTAATTGTATGGATGTACAATTATTGAAACCAGACATAGCATAGATGTAAGAGTGTGGCGATGCTTGATCTGAGTAATTTTACGGATGCATTCAATATTAGCGTTGTCGCTATTAAAAATTCAGTTGTGGTCGAGTCTGCTCACCTCACTGTATGGTTGCCCCATATTTCTTTGCGAGCTTCAAGGTAGTAAACACGGAGTCCCCTGCTCCTGTGCAGCAATGACTAGTGCGTGTCACATGCATGCTCGTGTATTATTACTACTACTACTACACTTGTTTATCCGTTAAACCCTCACTGAGTCTCATGACTTGTTTTCGGGAGAGTCCTGCCAAGGTTTCGCACTACTCGGGGGGGGGGGGGGGGGGGGGGGGGGGGGGGGGGGGAAATGTTTTCTGATGTATACTCCCATTGAATAATTTGCAGGTAGTTTTTCAAGTTGGACCACGCCAGCACACAATGCTCTACGCTTTGCGAATGATGTTACGGGTTCTTTAACGTCCCCCCCCCATTGTCAAGCATACGGCCAGTATTTTTTACGCTTAATACACACTGTAGTATTAACAAGGGCAGCTGCTGGGTTCGAACCGTGAAACTCTGCAACAGGTGGTGCATGCGCGAGCGCTGGGTCTGGGCCATGATACAGCCCTTTGTTCCGTGCGACTCAAAAGCAAGGTTATAGAATTGTAAAATTGACAGGACATAAAAAAACACATCCGTCCAAAAAACAGATGAAAATTCCCTTAAATATGTAACACAACACAATGCAGGCAAAGGTTATCTATTCCGGTCAGCAAATAAATAATCCAATTTGAAGTGAACGAGAAGCAAAATTCTAATGTTATTCTTATGTCATTCTTAGTGACATAAAGTATCTTCCAGAGTCTGCATTGTTTTTTTTTTATAGCAAAAAACAAACATCATCTGAAGCCCTATCCAAAAAGAGTCTTGCCAACCAATCCATGCAGATTGCATTGCGTGCGTTGTCCTCGGGTTTGTTTGTTGCACCGGTCTCTTCTTGGCAACCCAAATCCATTAGGTGCTCTTTGCAGGGTCGTCCTTTTGCGGCGGTCGTGTTCGGAGCACCTCCCGATTAATGAGATCCCTGAGGACAAGGGGGGGGGCCTCGTCGTGGTTATTATGGCTCGTCAGCGTTTAAAATAACGGTGGAAGTCGTCACAGACCTCAATGTTTTATTTTGCAAGAGGAAATGTGCAATACAATAACGAGGTAGATTTATAACGCTTCCAAACGCGATCTAATTTTAAAAGGCAAACTTTTAATCATCTTCCTCAATACGAACCTCGTAATATTATTACGTTCTAACGTTGTGGCTAACACTAATATATTCTAACGCTACATAGGTCATAAGAACTTCCAAGCCTTTATATATCTAGGTGATCGTCACCCAGGTCTGGCTGGCATGCTACCTCTCAAAACCCTCCCCACCCCGCGAGAGATATCGCGACTCCTCGGTGCGCGTGAAGCTCTGGGTTGTAATCCTGCAGACGTGAATGGTTGCACGGTGAAGCACAGCAAGGTCACCAGGTCACGATGCAGCTAGCGCACGTGGCGGTGTGTCCGTACGGGTTGATTGGATTGGGCAAAGGGCATAAACAGCCCCGCTTTTCACCCAGGCAACCGGAGAGCACAGACTTAAGATATGGCATGGTTTATCGCGATAACAACAATTACATATATTTAAGAACGCACAATTTTTTTAATAAAATAAAAAAAAATCAATGAAGAAGAATTTAAACAACATATTTTTTTACTTGACATTTTTATCATTTAATTTTGTTGAAAACACCGACGGAACCAACTTGAAATTCGAGAGGAAATAAGTCGCAGTTTAAGTGAGGTACTGTACTTGAGCACCGTCTATCAGGGTGTGGTACACAAGTTACATTTTCAATTCAGATTATCAAAAAAAATATGGGTTAAATAAAACCCTACGTTTAAACAGGACAGAGTGCCTCTTCATTCTTTCTGCTCATCAGGGTAGCCCAGATACGGCAATACGATGATATATCATAAAATTTCCATCCGTTTTGCATTAAATAATTGTATCATAAGTATCATTGCTCAATAGATTTTTCTAAAGTATTTTATTCCCCTGATAAAATATTTATCAAGTGACAAACCCAACAATGAAGTTGTAAACGGTTCGCTATTATCCATTAAATTAGTGCTTTGCTAAATGTGGTCCGGTATAAATTGAAGGCATGACGATTAATACGATGTCATCATTTTCGTAGGTAATTTGTTGTTTAATTACGTTTTGTGTGACTGACCGCATGTGCGTTATAAGCGAGAGAGAGAGAGATCTTAACGATTAGAAGACTCATGGCAGGCTTGTGGTGAGTGAAGTGCTATTGATGAACTTTTGAGTCATTTTCATTTGTACTGGAAGTACAGCAAAGACTCACAATCAATACAATACCAATGTTAAATACAATTTGACTTTGCCGATATTAGGAAGCCACTGGAGCTTTGCACTTTTAAATATAGACTGAAAACTAATGTCTTTAGAACTGCTTTTTGTGTTTAGTTTGAGATATACGTTTATCCCCTTTTATCTGGCAACAAAAACAGGTGCTAAGTTGTTAAAACACCAAACTGAAACCTTTTACAAGGAATCATGCCTGCATTAACCACAATACTTGTGGTCAAAATGCAAACAAAAAACCTCCTCTGATAATATATGCATTGTCTTTGAAACTGATTGGTCCACACCAGAGACAGCTTTCTTTTGAGCCTCGTCTCAAACGGTGTTAGCCCAGAGGACGCCTTTTGGCTCAAAAGAAAGCGGTCTCTGGTGTGGACCAATCAGTTTAAAAGACAATGCATATATTATCAGTGTTTTTTTTAGCATTTTGACCACAAGTATTGTGGTTAATGCAGACATGATTCCTTGTAAGAGGTTTCAGTTTGGTGTTTTAACTTAGCACCTGTTTTGTTGCCAGATAAAAGGGGAAAAACTTATTCTCATATTTTGGTACTGGCAAAGGAAGGTCCCATGCTGTGTTTAGTTTGTTGTCCTTTCGTCGCACCTCCGTTTAGCATGTTTGGCTTTGCACCGTACAAAGCCGTACGGTGAGAAATAAGTTAAATATACAAAAAAAGATCCCCCATATAGCCTTAACAGTCTGTAGGGGCAAGTGCTGTTAGCGAGCACCTTTGAAGGCCGGAACGGTACACGAGGGGGTGGGTGGTCAGCACCACGCCTGACCGCCTTTGTCTCCCTAGTGGCAATGTTTACACATCGCACCAGGTACTCATTTGAGGCTGAGTCGACCTAGGGGAGGCCCGGGACCGGTTCAGATAATCGTCACTGGTGTTGGCCGTGAGCGGGAATTGAACCCAGGTCGCCAGGTTCATAGCGCAGCGTAGCGCTAACCGCTACACTATCGCTCCCCACATACCCATATATACATACATTTACATACATGTATGTACATGTATGTATATTGCTACTGCTGCGTGTAGTGTTCACGGTTGTACCGCCTAGCTCTCTTTTTGTTTACCTTTCCTATACTTTGCACTCCTATTGTGTTTTTGTATTGTTTGTTGCTGTAACTTTCTGACCCACCCCTACTGGACACCCGTGCTTCATAGCTCATCGGATTCGTCCAAGATAAATAGAGATTCGGATTGTGATTCTGACGCGTGTTCTTGTTTGCTGAAATTCTTTCGCACCGTACGTAGTCAACCGTGTTACACCGCAATAAGAAACTGATATCGTGATAACCGTCACATTGTGAAAGCATTCCATCATATTATATGATGAAGATTTTTTTTTATGGTTGCGGCGCTGGCGCTCACCGGCGTTCCTGCCTGTGCGTGTGTGCCGCCCAGTGCCTCTGGTGTCCCGCGTGTGTCCAAGCGATGTCTACAAGGTGTGGAAGTGCGGCTCAAACCTCCGTGTCGACACTACCCTCCTGGGCTTCGATCACATGACCTGGCAGCGAGGGAAACGAAGCTTCATATTCAAAGGGCAAGGTGAGCGTGTTCACAGAAACGTAGTTGTCCTTAGTTTGTTGTCCTTCCCCCACACCTCCGATTAGCAAGGTTGGCTACGTAGGGTGTGAAAGAAGTTCAACATAAAAAAAAAAACTCTCTCCCATCCTGTTTTCTTCGATTCACTGCGTAGTGCTCTCCTCACCAACACGCGGAGACAGGTAAGGGGTCGAGTCCTTCATTTGCACCTTCTCCGCCACACACACAGCCTCCCTCCTTCAGGCATCGAGCAGCATTTTTGTTGTTCGGACTCTTGGCCTCCTTTTCCGAACATCTGCCCTTCAAGAACTTCGTTGTTCATCAAGCTGCCTCCTCCTTGGAGCACGTGCCCGATCCACATAGTTTTCCTTCCCTGGATTATTCCAAACGGACTCCTCTCCCTCCCGGGCCTGCCCTAGACCTTGCTCATTGCTACTGCTGCGTGTAGATGTTCACGGTTGTACCGCCTCGCCGTCTTTGTCTTTACCTTTCCTATACTTTGCACTCCTGTCGTGTTTTTTTTTTTTGTAATTGTTTGTTGCGTAACTTTCTGACCCACCCCTACTGGTGGACACCTGTGCTTCATAGCTCATCGGATTCCTCCGGGATAAATAGAGGTTCTGATTGTGATTCTGAAGTGTGCTCGGGTTTTGTATGGCGCGTTGTTTGGCACTCCAGGTGCTGAGAGTGAAACGTTGGACATCATTCCAAAACAACAGGGCGATACAACTGAAAACACAACAGAGAACTTCCCCCGATTACTCTTTTCATCCCGCTCATTTTTCTCCACTTGATGATAATTACCGACATCTTCTCAAATACGAGCATATGATTACCCCCCCCCCACACTGAAAATACACACGCGTAACATATATATAAAAAATACAAGACGTTTAATTTAAAACGTCAAAGCAGTGTACCCTACGCAATATGATGTAAAACACTCAAGAAAGCTCACGTTGCAATGAATGCGGAGATGAAGGTCGATTTGGAATGTCCCTTGTGCTACAAGAAGATAGCCCCAGCCGGTAAGGCGGCAACGTACACAGACCTCCAAACGTCCCCTCGCACCACGCGTCCACCACCACGAGCGAGCGAGCGAGCGAGCGAGCGAGTCTTGTCGTGTGCATGGCCCTGCCATTTACTGCAACTGGTCACGCGGCCACTAGCCCGCTCTCGGAAGATCGGATGCTTCTTGTTTGTTGCAGAATGCGGCTTGCATGCCATTCCCAAAGGGTGGTGTGCGTCGCCGTCCCCTGTTGAGAGTATGTGCTCGAGCCTGCCCCGAAACGAGAGGAATTCCTCCACTTGAGAAAGGGACACCGATGGAAACACAGCGGCCCTTTACAATACCGCCACTTCCAGCAGCAACCGTGCTACTCCTTGATTTGAGTAAATTGGCCTTGTGATGCAAGTGTTTAATGGTATTAAATTGGATTGCCTTGGGTATACATTGCTTTAAAATGTTAAACTAAACGTCTTGTATTTTATACATGCTAAGTGTTGGACAGCCATGTGAACTTTTATTTTATGTAAAGCGCTCCGAGACGCCTTTATTGATGTTATGTTTGCTATGCGGTATTTACATATATATTTGATTGACTGAGCATCAAATACAGGACTGTCTTAATAGTTAACGTCGGGTTTTTTGCAAATTGCGACAAAGAAGGCACGTGGAGCGAAACGTCGAACCTCACGGCCGGACAAGAATGCGGCACATCCTGAAAACACATTAGAGAGAGTCATCGGCAGATATAATTTGTAAAACATAACGTACTGCCTTTTTTTAAAATCAACGGCTGGATGAAGGTCTCACCACGTCATTTTAGTCATAACGGGGGGTGGGGGTGCGTGTTTGACCATACTTCACCACACTGGAAAGTTTATATGATATTGCACAATGTTGTGCTTCCAGGGTGCGTAAAAAATATTTGTAATCATCGTTGGGGGTTCCATTATATAAGCGTTACGTTTGGGTTAATATGCAATGCACGGCCAGAATCTCTTAAAAGCCCCACTCTGCAAACAGACACTCGTTAAATAAAATGTCTCAGTCTGGTAATGGGTAGCAAGTAGATTAACACGGCTGGTTATCTGTATATGCAGGCACAGTGTGAAGGTGCGGGAGTAGACTGTGATGCCACATTGTCCGTTGTCTTGAACGAGGCTGCGGTCGTGTTTGAACTGGAGGCTAATCAAGGGTGGAGTCTGGTTAACGCGTGGAGGAGGAGGGAGGCTTCATGGGAGTTCCCAGAGCTGTGGGCAACAACACGAGAGTCTTGCCAAGACGAGACCCATTTCATACCAAGCCAAACAACATCACGAGCCAAAGTGGCCTCGTTCCAGAGGCACTATTTAGTGCACAGAAAATGCCGTACATCCTCCGTACGCCAAAATGTCGCACATAAATAAAACGTATGATGATGACGACGGTAATAAAACCAAATTCCATAAAACGGAATGGTTTTTGCTTCGCCCTGCAAGTCACCCTTTACGGGACGGCGTGTACGTAACATGCGCGCCGCGCCAAACTCTTTCAAGACAACGGGGCGGTGGTGCTGGAGGTGGACCACGACCGCTGCCTGGTGTACGTGGAGACGCTGTCTCTGGCCGCCCCGGAGACGGACGCGCTGCTGCAGGCCGTGCGCCCCTCCGAGGCCCAGCTCCTGCTGCGCCTCTCGTCGCCCGTCGTGTCCACGCACGTCAACACCAAGAACATCCAGTTTGAGAGGTGCGGGACCCCGCGTCGCACGCTCGCCGGCTCGAGACGCGTTGGGATTTGGACTCGACAGGTGGCAACTTGGTGGGGGGGGGGGGGGGAGGGTGATGGGGGTGGACGTGGTGGGGAGGCCATCATCCAGCAGTGGACTGATCATGGCTGTCGATGATAACGGGATGTGGGAGCGCACGGTCATAACCGTCGAGTTGAAGCAGTCGGGAGTCCCACAGCTCCTCTTCCAGATCGCCCGCACACCGTATCGCAGTTGGCGCTTGTGACCACATCAATCAGAATGTGCCAAATGTTGTCAGAACTCGGAAGCTAAGCAGCGCCGAGTCTGGATAGTTATTGGATGGGTGACCACCGTGCACAGCAGGTTTATTATAGGCTGCTGCAGGCCTACGTGGTGGATGGCACCAGAGGGCAGTGCAGCTAAATCCATCTTTGACCTGTCCTCTATACTGCACATTTTCCGTGCTCCCCGCCTTCGCCAGTCCACACTGACTGGTGCAGTGACGTTTGGTCAAACCCGCATGGCATGGGGGGAGGGTGCCCCATCCAGCAGTAGCCGGACCAAAAACTGCACACAGGAACTGTATCCTTCTGGGTGCAGTTCGCAATGAGCGCAGGAGAGCTACCACGCCTGCATAGGTGTATACACACCCTGTGTGTAGATGGCATGTTATTTTACTAACCCGAGTTTGGTGAGGCCTCATAATAGCCAGCAAAGCCCTAATGGTGCTGCTGGGTCGGGATGGGGTTTTCTCTTGTTAAGTGCATTTTGCGTAACTTGTCCTCTTCGTGTTTCAATTTTAAACACCTATTAAACGTGCATTAATACGTTATTAGGAAATTGTGTAGGTCAGTTTATCTCGTAAAGCAAATCTCAGGGTGGCAACCCTGCCACACTGCAGCCCCACCGAGCCAGATGGCTCTCATTCGCTCCATGCCGTTTGATTGCCTAAAGTCATAAGTCACAATTGTGTCCAGTAAGCAGAGGATAGAACATGTCCCAGAGGACATTCACAGCACAGGCAAAACGATGAAATGAGCTTATATGCAGAAGCTGGATGGACTTTTGCATCACAAAGCCATGAGAGAACGAAGCAGTAGATAGATCAAGGCTGATGATGATTAATGAAATGTGTGTCTTAATACAAGGTTATATTAATTATTATGCTAGTTTACCCAGTGAAGCCTCACTGAGTCTCAATACTCTTATTCAGGAGAGTCTTGGCAAGTTTCGCAGCAAGGGATGATTTTTACATGTATAAACTCAATTGAGTAATGTGTTTAGTATTCGGATGTTTAACGAATGCCAGCTACATGTAGAAAAGCTAGAGAACATGCAAACTCCAATCATAAAGTCGGGAATCGAACCTGTGAGGCAACAAGTGTTACCACTCCACCACCCTGATGCCCAAAAGGTGTAACTGCACCCAGAAGGCAACAGGAAACTACCGTAACCCTGCCTACACGAGTCGTGGCTCAAGAAACCTCTTGTGGAGGTGCAGTGTTTTGAGTCAGGGAAGGGGAGGGCGAGAGGGAGCAAGTGGGGATTAGATGGAGGAAGAGAAGTGAAGGTGCAGAATGAGGCTGCTGCTGCTGCTGCTGTGTGTGCTGCTAAAGTTGTATTTGATTCCCCAGGAACAAGTCCGGAATCTGGGGGTGGAGAAGTGAAAAAAGTGAAACAATTAACGGTTATGAAACGAAGGTGAGACGACACATCGCATTTTTATTTCCTGCATTACCGGCCCCCACCAGCTCCGTGACTCGCTTTGTTACGTTATACACGTCGATTTCACACATTGCAAGAGCTTCTTACGCGTACAAATCTTTAAAGTAATTATCACTCTCCTGAAGGCTCCTCAATTGTAGATTCGCATCAAGGAAATTATTAACGCGTCAGTTCCCTGCAAGGTGGCAAGATGTTGCTATGAAAGTCAATACACCATTATCGCCGTAGAAATAAGATTTGAGCGCACAGCCTGTGAAATTGTGTGTGAAATTAGACAAATACGACATCAAGTAAAACATTTCCCTTGATGGAATAAAACATCAATAATGCTTTCCCATTGCCCTAAGCAGTGATCCTGAAGTAGGGAAATCGAGGCTACGTGAACATATTCTTAGCTCTAAATCAAAATCTACGTGAACATGCTTATTTTATTTTATACCTACGTGACTTTACCGAAAGAACCAAAGAGTAAGTTTATGTACCTTCAGTCGAGTTTTTTTACCTTCAGTGTTTCTTTTTGGCTTGCGGACCACTCAGCCAATGCAAATATTTCCAAGGGCCACCCAGCCCACCCACCCATGGTGACAAAATGCATTCACTTTTGTCTCTAAATACCAGTAATGCTAAGTTATTCACAATACAGGAACTTATATCTTTTTTTAACACAGCTATAAGGTTTTTTTTGTGGGGGGCGGGGGGGCACTTAGAACTTAGTTTAATCAGGGTAGCTTTACCTAACTTAATTTTTTTTATAAAATATCCTAAGTAAAATATTAATGTACGAAACAAAAGGTAGAAACGTTGTCATTATTTACGGATCGACCTGCATTTGCATCGCAGCCCCGCGAAGCACCTGGAGGCACCGGGGACCGCACTCTTGAGAACCACCGCTCTAGTCCCATGGTCACTGGATGACACATTTAGGGTGAAACTAAGCAACCAACGTCTTCCTGTCAGCACAATTCCGTTAGAGTAGCTGCCCCAAAGGTAGCACTTATAAATGTGCATGTGTGTGTAGCTATATATATTATAAAATATTAACAACGATGTCTTTGTCTAGACGGAATTCGATTTGCACACACCTTGCCTGTTTTCCTTGGGCGGCATATGCAAAGGATGTTGTTAATTTTGTACCAATAACTTGTTGCTCAGCAGTGGTGACTTCAGACGCTGACAATGCAGCACTGGCAACCTTCCCAGTAGAAATGTAAAACTCTCTCCGATTAGATTAACTGTAAAAACACAAGCATGGCCTTTAGTTAAAAAGTGCCCCACTATAAATCATCCCCAAGGCTTGCTCGCATTGCATTCCCAATTGAAACATATTCTTATAAGTTACAGTACAGATATTACTGCAGGTAAATGAGATCGCAATATCCACAGAACGGCTGAAGATGTGTATATCCGATATTATCCAGTCCATTATAGGATGCCTTAACACCTTCAAGCTGGGTTAATATTTATCCTATTAATGGCACCAGCCTCAGCATCAACTATCACGGCATGGGGGTGGCTGGGTGGCTCAGGATCCAGCATCGCCGAGCTTAAATCTGGACTTCAACCACTCATTGTTAAACCAGGTTTTCAAGTGTGGCAATACGTTGTTGGTCTCAGTCTGATTCTATTTGGATTTGTACTTCAGATTGCAACATTTTACCTCTGCGAAATCCATTTCAGTTTTATTGGCATGTAACAACATTTTTTTCCCCTGTAGCGAGGTGTATGGGAAAAGCAGAGCACTTGATGTTTCTCAGAAGCAGTTCTGTGAAGTCTGCTTCCGCAAGCCGTTCTCTCACACGGGGTGATGCAAAGCCCGGCGAGCATTCAGAACGAGACACTTGGTCTCATGGTATATTAATCAGATTGGACAGTTGGAATAAAATGTCTGAGTGTGGGACTAGGGTCGGGGGGGGGGGGGGAGATGAGAAATGTCTTGTTTAAGAATAACGATCGCAGCACGGGGCGCGGCTGATCGTTGTGCTGCAGGTGTACAGCGCCTCCCACGTGGAGCTGGTGACGTGCACTCGGACGGAGCACCTCTCTGACCAGGATAAAAACAAAACCAAAGGTTGCTCCTCGGTCTCCAAAATGCACACACTTCAGCTTGTCAATTAAAGACGCCAGTAACTAAAAATGTAAATGCATGCCCTGTGTGTGTGTGTTTGCGTGCATTTTTTTACTTTCGCTTTATCCCCTTGCTGTATTATTTCACGTAGCCGCACTTGAGCGGTTTATGGACTATCCATGCACATTTGAAAGCATTAGTGTAAACAATGAAAGTGTGCTACTCCGCAGCTGCTTTGTGTGAATGTGGTGTGCATTTGGTGCACGATCAGACTTTATTTTAACAAATTGATCGTTTCACTTTTTGACACTGGCCCTCTTCAAAGTTTTACGATACAACGTGGGCAGATGCAGTTACTCTCGTCTAAGCCTCGACTTTCTTTTTCATCGAGTGATGCGTGGCTAAAACGTACACCGAGAGACAGAAAGAGGAACATGTGGGTGATATGCGAGTATATACACTGGGGTTCACGACGTCGTTCAAACGGGTGAGATAAGCAAGTGGGCCTGAGCAGAGCAGGTCGCGGTCAGGGCGAGCGGGGATGATGGCCAACGGTCAAGAACAAAAACGGAGTGACAGGAACAAATGGAACGCAACTGAAAGGATGTCCACCAAGGAGATGGGACGATGAAATCAGTTCTTTTGGGTGGATCATGAGAGGTGATGGCGGCTCAGGGTAGCCTTAATCCAGCAGTGAAGTGATCATGGCTAATTATGACGATGATTGCATTTAATAGGTCGCATTGCTTGATGTGCTCCTAAAATTAGGGAAACGTCAATAATGTTTTTGGACCAGCCAAATTGGATGTCACATCCACGAAACGTTAAAACCTGGAACACTGACTAACGTCAGTGGGGAGTTTTGGAGGACTTCAAAAAATTGATGTAAGATATGGGATAACTGAGGAAGAATACATCTTATCAAGATGTTTCTTCACTCTTTTTTTGTAAGATTATGTGCAATAAAAGTCTCCAAATTAGTTTTCTGTCTGTCTATAAATATTCGTGCAGATGGTGCGGAATTAATCTGCCAACTTCCCAGTTGAAGTGAACATCTTTTTGTAAATATATATAAAGTAATAATTACTTTCTGCATTTTAAAAGCTAACCACAAAAGCAGTTTTCGGTTACCGTTTAATATTGGTTAGCAAATTTTGTGCAATATGGTTTTCCCTGGAATAAAAACGTAATTTGTGAGCGTCTTTAAAAAAAACCCAACAATGTGATTTGTTCTTTTCCTTCAATTTCAAAATTCCTTAAAATTATATACACAGCGATAAGCTATGTATATATTTCTGCACCTCCGATTAGCACGGGTGGCTACGTACGTTGTGAAAGAAGTTCAACATACATGCATGTTAATGCGTTCAATCTGTGCTCTTCTTGATTTAATGCACTGTATATATATGCGAGGCTGCGTTGTTGGCAGTTCACTAAAATCCATTGTTGTACTCTACTTCTATGCCCCCCGCATTTATGCTCCTTGCCTTCACCAACCTTCAACGGCCGGTGCGAAGTGCGATTTAAAACAACCACCACAACTTGCAAAGAGCGGAGAGGCCTTCATCCAGCAGTGGACTGACAAAAATTGGCTGTAAATGTACTCAATAATTTACACAGTTATATTTATGGCACGTCGTACTGTATACGAGCGTCTCGTTGAGCTCCAGGCATTACCACCCCGCAACTCCTCCACGGTGGAGCAATGGCAATTACCAACACAGCGAGGCCTGTCCAGAGCACATCGTCTCTCTTCTACTGCCCAGGGATCTGCATTGGCTACCAGTCGAGGTTATCTTTTTAAAATCCTTGCCTTACAAACAGGGCTGCAGAGAGCACCAGTCCTGCTGTACCTCTCAGAATTTCTCAAGAATCAAGTTCCTGACAGGTATCCTAGATCCATACTCCTAGATCCAGCTACACGATATAAAGATCCATGGATGTATCAGGCGCATGCGACGAACATAGGCGAGATTTGCGTGGACTGAAGTTTTGAGAAACGCTGCTGCGTGGTGCACCTTGTCAGCGAGTGTAATCATTACAACGAGATTATTCTGTTTTGTTTACCTGCAGGAGTGAAAACCACCCCCCTGCAGTCGTTCCTCGGGATTGCCGAGCAGCATGTCGGCTCGAACAATGTGGTGTGTGTGTGCTTTCATTCACCTCTTTCATTCGTTTCAAAAATGCATTTTTTTTTTAAACGTCGCACACAAACCCACGCACGCGCGTCCACCGCACGCAATTGACAGTTGCGGAATGTTTGAAGTCAAGTCTGTCAGATTGACAGGGATGAAACACGTTGCAGTTTTTTTTATATCTGATTACAGCTGGTTAATGAGCTGTTAATGGAAGATTGACCGGCGTTGAGGGGGGGAAACAATACATTGGCGCTGCTTTTAGGGGTGAGACTCGGTTTATAAAGGCTTATTTTTAGCATTTCTCAATCGCATAAAGTTTACTGCTGAAAATTAGTGTTGGATTTGGTAGAACGTCATCACGGCCAAGAAATAAATCAAATTTATTCAGCTGTTGAGCACGCTTGTGAAAAATGTTTACCAGGTAATTATTTTCTGTAAATTTAGTTTTCACTCCCTTTGGCCAACATTGTATTCATGAATTCATTACTTTTGATGTACAGCGCCTTGAGTACCTTGCAGAAAGGCGCTTTATACATGTAATGTATTACTGTCATTGACTCTGTACCGAGCGCTTTCGTCTTTATTCTTGTAGAGTTTTGGATTAGCTGAGAGTCGTTTTGTCACTGAAAGTGAAAAGCTTAGTAAACAGGTACATTGGAGGGAAAAGAGGCGGTTACAATTCCCGGAGGAGCTCCCAACACGCGGCACGACTCAAGCACAACAAAAGAGCAATACGGCACAACCACGGATAGCTACGCCACGGTGGCGAGATGTTAACTATCTCGCCTGGTATACAGGAGGTCGTAGGTACGATCCCGACCCTGACGCCTGCATATTTGGAGTTTCAGTGTCTTCTCTCTCGCCCTGGTCGTGTGGATTGTTCTCTGACGCCTCCGGTTTTCCACCCGACATTTATAAACACGCTTTTCGAGTATTTGCCTGTGATAAGTGTCCACGTGATAATCCACTTCGTTGAGCTATCATTGGTGGCCAGGTCACTTTTGAAAAAGAAAGATATATATATAGCTCAGTGGGCCTTACCTGATGAAATAAAAAAATAGTGTATAGTTTAAAATGGTTTATAGTTTAGTCTAAAACAGTTCACAATCAAAGCACTGACCAAGCTCAACTCTGCATAAGCTTCCTAAGTCTGATCAGACTGGGTGCATTCAGGGTCATGTGGTCATAGGCAAAAGCACCTGCAATATAGGGTGAGGAATTACATGTATGCGATCAATACTCCACAGCTGAAGTCGCTTGACTGCAGCTCTGAAAATAATTGGCCACCAAAGTGTTGTACAAAATGAATTGCAATTAAAAACATTCGTTTCATGATTAATAGCAGCTTTGCTTTAAACCAAGGCCGTAATTATAATATATTGGGGGGGGGGGGCACCTCCCCCCCCCCCCCCAATATTCAAATATGCTCAAAATGCCCCCCCCCCCCCCCAATATATTGCTATAAAATAATAATTGCTATGCTATGTAAATAAAAAACAACAATTTGCTAAAACTTGGCCACAATATCTGGACTTGTCTTCATATTATAATCTCTGCCATTACATACAATGAAACAAGAAATGGTAAAAAAAGTAAAAACAGAGCAATGTAATACAATACACGATTAGACATTGTAAAAAAAAATAAAGTCCATCCCATGTGTTCGTGAATTTTTTTATATTTTAGGCAGGAAATTAGTTTTCTAATTTAGATATTTTTCTGGGTTGGGACCCCCAGACACCCTGGAAGAATTGGTCCCCCCCAATGTTGACTCCATGGCTACGGTCTTGCTTTAAACACAAGTGCTTTTCGCAGTCTGAGGTTCGTTTTGAACAACACGCGGTAACATGAGACAGGCCACATTTATTGCTTTTACAGATTGTCGCTCAAGGTTAGGGAACTGGGATTTTGCAAATGGATGGAGAGTGAAGAATTATTCCCAAACCGTGAAAGATTGTTGCAGGAATGCTTTTCCAATTATCAGCTACGGGGGTGCAAGGCAATTGTTTTAAACCAATCATTGGTCTCGATGATGTGTATCCAGTGGCACTAAAGCGATTACACCTGTCCTTTCAGGATTAAGCCCTTTTTTTGTTATAAACTGATGGCAAACATGAAGGTATTAAGGAAAAGGTCAGTAAATCTACTAGACTGTAAACAAAACACGGCATCTGTGGCACGGTGACTCGACGTTCTAACCCTCTCGGGAAGGAAAGTGGCGATTCCTGCGGCGCGGAGATCATTTTACAAGCGGTATTGTTTGCGCACCTCCATCGTTGATTTTGTTTAGGAAAATTACCGATGAAAAATATTCGTCAGCAAAGTGGTTGAGTCGGAAAATTACTGCGAGTTGAATAAAACCAAGGGTCACAGCGACGATTGACTGTCCACCAACATAAGCACGACTGTGACCGACGAGATGAAATTATATATTCTGAATGATGGCGCAAACCGAGATGATTTTACTAACAAATTTGACATTTGTGTAAAACGGTGGTGGTGGTGGGGGGAGGGGGTGATGTACATTTCAGCTACGTTTAATAACTAATAGTAGACGAAATGAGTCAACTAGCCCAGAGGCTAAGACAACTAAACGAAGTCTTGCAGACTAAGCCTTGCCTAACTTTCCACGGTTTGTCATCGACTCCACCGAGAATGTACCGGTACTTTAATAACGGTTGCTGGGAGCACAGGCACAAAGGCCCAATTGCAGTCATCGCGTCTTAATTGAGCCAAGGCGATTGTAAAAACGTCTTCAATTAAACCAAGGCGGTTGTAAGAACTTATTAATTGAGCCAGGGCGATTCAAAGAACTTTGGAAACTAGACGGCGGGGAGAGTTCTCCCAAGTGGAGCGGTGCTTAGGAAGAAGCAGACGGAGAGAGAGAGCGAGAGGCGTTTTGAATTGAAAGCGACAACGTAGGCTTTCGTGACCAATATTCATAATCAAGGTCTGTGGGTTAAACCGCGTAAACATAAATGTGTCCGCACCCTTTGGTTATTTCGCTAAAGTCACGTAGGTATAAAAATTAAACTAAATAAAAATTATTATTTTGAGCCAAGGCCAAGGCGATTTTGGTTTTATTTTCTACCTACGTGACTGCCGAAAGAACCAAAGAGTATGGATTCCTGCAGTCACGAAAGCTTCAAATCAAGATCATATAAATGTGTCGTTAACCCACCACTACCCAACACAGCCAATCGGTAAGGTTTGTCACGTGAACAACGCGCACTGATTAGTTACTTCAGCACCACCGGTTGTGTTGGGAGATGAAACCTGCAACAACTTCAGAGCCCAACGGCAGCCCCTCGTTATTGCGCCGCGATCCGTGGCCGTCTCTCTCCACCTCCTCCACCACCCAGGCACAGATCACGCAGATGGCGAGCCCCACCAATCCCACGGCGATCACGGCCGCCGAGTACTTCAACCCCCGCTTCGCGCTCGGGGGCCGCGACATCGGACGCCCGGTGGAGCTGACCGTGAAGACGCAGCGGTGAGGCTGCCCTCCCCGCGGCACACGGCTGGCACGATCTCATTCATTTTCGATTTAAAGCTTTCGTGACTGCAAGGATTCATCTTCTTTGGTTCTTTCGGTAAAGTCACGTAGAATGAGAATAAAATAATAAAATAAAATAAGACACAAAAATTCTCACGACGTTTCGGCCACAACACAAGTAGCCTTCTTCAGGTGAAAGAACAGAACTGTCGGGACGACAGAGCTTGAATGAACGCTGTTAAGATTCGTAGCGTCTTTTAAGCTCTGTCGTCCCGACACTTCTGTTCTTTCACCTGAAGAAGGCTACTTGTGTTGTGGCCGAAACGTCGTGAGTATTTTATTGTCTTATTTAATTTTATTATTTTATTCTCATTCTACGTGACTTTACCGAAAGAACCAAAGAAGATCTCATTAATGTTACGTATTATTATGATAATGTTCAGCCCTCCGTCAATCCACTGCTGGATGTGAGTAAATGGGATAGTTTTGACCATCACCTCACCGTGCTGGTCACGATACGTTCCTAAACCCGTAGCATCTGGGTCTGTCCCGTGACCTGCCAGTGACACTTCAAAACTTAATGTGGGTTCACGGTCTATCTATTTTTATTTGACCAGGTAAGGCTCACTGAGCTATGTAGCTCTTTTTTTAGAAGCGACCTGGCCACAAATCATGGCTCAACAAAGTGGCCTATCGTGTGGAAATTAATAGCAGCCAAATAATCCAAACGCATTGTTTTTTAAATGTGGAGGGAAAACCCCGGAGGACCCGGAGAAAAATCCACGCAACCACGGGGGAGAACACGCAAACTCCTAATATACAACAGCAGGCAAAGTCAGGGTCGGCATCGAACCCGCAACCTCCTGTATACCGGGCGAGGTAGTTAACATCTCCTAGCCAGCGTGGGTCGCTCGCCTGGCTGCACCCAGCCTGGCTAAATTGCTGTTGTAACGTAACCGCCACTTGGTGGCGAATGGAGGTTATTCTTGTGAAGAGAAGCGCGAGGACCAGTTTAGATATTCACCACTGATGTTCGCCACGGCAGGAAATCAAACTCAAGTTCATATATCGCATGGCACCGACCAGTGTTTTCACCCATGAATCAATGGGATTGCAGTAAAAGCGTTGCTCCTCTTGCCACTGCATCTAACTTTATTTTAGTTTTCTTCTTTTTTCTCCACGAAGTTTGCCAATGCTGTTCGAATATTTTTTTTTTCCAATATTCTGGAAATTATCATTTAAGCGCACTGGCAGATGTGTAGTATTACACGCAGTACATTTGCACGCGTTTACAATCGGTCAGTGTGCTAACATGTGGTCTCATTCTTTCTGTGTAGGATGTTATAAAGTTTGTGATTCTATGTCTAACATCTCGTATGTGTGTACAGGATCGTAAATTAAACATTTAAGCGCACTGGCAGATGTGTAGTATTACACGCAGTACATTTGCACGCGTTTACAATCGGTCAGTGTGCTAACATGTGGTCTCATTCTTTCTGTGTAGGATGTTATAAAGTTCGTGATTCTATGTCTAACATCTCGTATGTGTGTACAGGATCGTAAATTAAACAAATTAGAAATAAGCGATGCGAATCGTGTAACGCATTCCAGCCAAACGTTTACCAGGATGTCGACAACTGTTTTACAGCAAAAATTATGAAACTGCACTCGTGACGTTACCGCACGACTACACCATCCGCTTCATGTACATGCACCGAGGCAGCTTTTGTCGAAATTCAATTGAGAAAAACAGTTCAACACTCTGACGGCACCCCTTTTTCTCCCCCCTTTGCCTCTACCCTTCGTCTTCCCTTAATGTTAATTATTTCTCTCCCCTCCCCCGACTCTTACCCCCGATATAAATCTTCACCCCCCCCCCCCCACGCGGGGACCCCCAGTTGGCTGGGGCTGAAGGACCTTCGTGCCAAATTGGAATTCGCGTGGATTTTCTGTTCCCAACCTCTAATGTCCATCGGCACATGGTACCAGGCTCGTGTTTCGTCGCAATTTATATTCGGCAAAACTCACGGTTGCAGCTGGCAGTAACGGATGGTTAAGAGGTAAAGGTGCAGCCCTGCAATTGCCTGCTCGCACCACTCCTGGCGGAAGGGCCTTCACTAGAGGGAACTTCAAAGTCCCTCTGGAGGGTATTTTTGGCCTATGCTGGTCATACGCCTTGGAAGATTTTGGAGCACCCACAATTTACAAGCCACCACATGTGACTCGCCGATCGATCGACGGCTTTGGTGGACAGAGGGGGGGGGGGGGGGGAATTTAAGAATCTCGCGCCATTGTCTCGGCTTCCGCGTTGAGGGATCGAACAGACGATCTCTGGAATGCAAGTCCAGTGCACACCACGGCAGAATCCTTTCGGTGGCGTTTCGTCACATGTTACCCCCAAGGCAGGCCTGGTGCCTTCAGTAATAATAACGATGCCGGGATGGTCTTCTGGCAGTCAGTAGTTCATAGACCCTTGCGCCAAGGACCCAGGACAGAAAACGAAAAATTATCTGTGCTGCGTGGAACATGTGCCAGATTCATAGTGCATGGGGAGGGCGCAAAGTGTGAAAATCTGGTGCTGGTCTTGAGACGAATTAATCCAAGGGTGGACAAATCAGAAGCATCACACATGAGCCTCCTGCAGGGCAGGCAATAGATTCTCATTCAGAGCAGGCCTCTTCTGTATGATGTTAATCTTCGCCCAAAACCTTTTTTTACAATTATACTGTACAGCTCTCGCTATTTGCCTTGCTCGTCTTCTAATCCCTCTAGCAACGCTCCACTTCCCCTACCCCACAAACAATTGCTGAAGTGGGCAAATACAGCCTCTTGTCACGGCAGCCCTTTTGCCCACTTCAGCAATTGTTTCTTGCTGTGGTTGTCCCACCTGATGACGGACGCTTGTGTTGTGCCCGAAACGTCGTGATTTAATTTATTTTATTTTACACCTACGTGACTTTACCGAAAGAACCAAAGAGTAATGATCAATTCTACAAGACTTATTTTTCCACAAGGGTAATATTCTTTTTTTTTTAGCGGCGTGAATTTTTCTTCCCATATTTAATTGCTTATTTAATTCCTATCGTGCTGGTTGAATTAGGTAGCTTTACTATATAATGTGCCTGTGACCAAATCACCCACAATGCACCCAATCTCATCAAATTTCAGAATCTAAGCAGGTTTGAGCCTGGATAGTGCTTGGATGCGTGACCATCATGCTTGGCATGACCACCATGTGCTTTGGGAGCTATGTGGGTGGTGCCTAACAGGCGGCAGTGCAGCAAAAAAATCCATTGTTGCACTGTAATTCTATGCTCCCACTTCTTTGCTCCCCACGTTCACCAACCCACACTGACCGGCATACTCTAGTATGGATGTCCACCACTTATATTATCATTGGCTGCTGACATTTGTGCTACGCCTATTTCAAACCCTTATACACAGTTTGCCTTGGACGCTTGTGTTGCGATCTAAACGTTATAGTTTTTTTGTTATTGTCTTTGAACCTATCTATGTGACTTTACCGAAAGACCCAAGAATATGAATGTCTGGTCAAAAATAACCTCTTGGATTGACAAAGGCCTGTACAGGCAGTCCCCGGGTTACGGAAGGGTTAGGTTTCCGAGAAGTTTCCGTAACCCGAATTTTCCCTATGTCGGGAACTGAACAAATTACCCCGAAACTCGAGATAAAATCCCATAGCCGGAAATCGTTGTGCCTCCCCTATCGTTTTCTCCCAGTATTGTATCGCGATGTCATCCGTTTTCTATCGCTACCTGTATCGTATTGCTCTGCACTTCCTATGATTGTTTCATTTAATCGAATATCTACCCAAACACAACCCATTATTAAATTAATGGAACATACACTGTATCCAATTGTTTGATTTTAATATTAATTAACAGAAAGCAGTCAATTCCGAATGTTTTCAGTGCATTAGGCTAGGCCTAAACTTCAAACAAAGCCATAGATTCCCCGTATAACCTGTACGGACTGTTGGGGCAAGTGCTGTTAGCGAGCACCTATGAAGGTCGGCATGGCACAAGAGGGGGTGGGTGGCCAGCACTACGCCCGGCCACCTTTGTCTCCACAGTGTCGATGTTTACACACCGCACCAGGTACTCATTGTCAGTTTCATTTTTCAGTTTCATTTATTAGGTATAACCCTGTGAGCCATGCGGCTCTTGCCTCGGGTGCAACCGCAACAAAACAAAAACATTAACAAGAAACATCTTAAAGGGACTGCACGCAACAGAAATATCCTGGAAAAAACAGCAAAAGTCTTCCAGAAAAAACACCGTATTTCAACGCTGTGTGCAAAAATCCCAGTGGGATGCAAGTCAAACAAAAAACGGACAATGTAGATTAAAGTTATCAGGCTAACTCTGCAGTACAGCAAACAAACATGGCTAAACCAAAACGTTTTCAAAAGCACCAAAATAAATCCATAAAAACAATGTAACAGTGATCATAGGAACTGTGATTCAAATTTAACAATACACGATATACATAACATGTACGACCAAACTTTGCAACCATAATTGGCTGCATGAGTCACTCCATAACAGCAGGAGAATCAGTAGCAGAATCAAAAAATGTCAATACACCTTTAAATATCAGCACCCTATAATCAAAACTGAAGATCATACTTTGCAGCGGTCAACCGAAATGATACATTTGATTTCAGGCCATTCTGAATAGCAGTGGCAGCTAGGGGTGTACAACTCCTCTAGAGCAGTTTTGAGTGAAGATCTCACAGGTAGTGATCCAAGTTGCAGTTTATTGGCAATAGCATTCCAGACCCTGGGGGCATCAATAGCAAAGGCCCTTTATGGCAATAGGGAATGTGCAGCTGGTAAATGAGCGAATACCTTTGCTCACATTTGTTCTTCAAAACAGTGAGGAGATCCAGCAGGTAGTCTGCTGATTTTTTTTTTAAGGCTGATTCGACCTAGGTGAGTCCCAGGGCCGGTTCAAGATAATCGTCACCGGCGGTGTTGGCCGTCAACAGGAATCGAACTCTGGTCGCTGGGCTCGTACCGCTCCCCACAGACACACACATAGTACATACTGTACAGAAAACAAACAATTACGTAATGCTACAAAAGGAAAATAATGACGTAAGGCTAGAAACAATTCTAATGACCTTAAATCCTCGTGACGTCCGGGCTCGTTGAAGGCGGCATTTTGGTGCAGCCTTACGCCTCGCTCCGCGATATTCATCCGCAACCTCACCGCGCTGCACTATTTGCGCTTACGTAACTAAAGCAAACATTTCCTCGTATAGATTTTTTTGTTAAAACATGATTTACAGGAGCGTCCCCGTAAAGTTTGAGTTCCGTAAGTCGGAATTCCGTAAGTCGGGTCTCCGTAAGTCGGATCTTCCGTAACCCGGTGACTGCCTGTATATGTATTCAGGGATGTGTGGTTGCACTTTTACGTTTTTGGCACGTGTAAAGAAGTTTCCTGGTCAAGGCCCATAATTGTTATGTACGTCTCGGTTTGTAAAGACATGCATCTCTGCATGCTGACATTAATTCTCAGACGCTCACATGAATGGCAACATTTGATGCCCATGCCGCCTCGTGCGTGTGCTTGTCCGCTTGCGTTAAGGGGTAATTGTGAATCCGTGTAGAGATTGCGCATCCGACTCGGCGCGTACACAACGCGCGCGTGAGCGAGGTTGCAGACCCCTATCATCCTCACGCTGCTATTCATTTATTGGAAGATGTTTGTCCATCATTGCACTTCGCTAAAGAGTACTGGTCCTGACAATCTGAGGGCTACACATGGGGTATTTGTGTCAGTATATATATCTAGCGTGGTACTGGCCACTCGCCCCCTCGTGTGCCATGCCAGCCTTCATTAGGCGCTCGCCTAATGAAGGCACTTGCCGCAACGGTGCAAAGGCTACCGGGGGGGGATCTTTGTCTTTATTTTTGTAACCGTCTCTCCCCTTGTGTGGTTTTGGAACACGCCCAGAGCGAAAAGACCTACTTGTAAGATCACGAATGCATTTTTGCCTTGACGGTTACCCGTCGTTGGCTTCCAAACCGCTCGTAAATGTGTCCGGGGGAAGCGTCACGGAATCCACGCCTGTGCACGATTTTTCCCCTTTCCCCGTTGTGTAACCGTGCACCTGTGTGCGGACGCGTCCCCGCGTGCCTCTCGTCAGGTTCAAGGCCAACCTGTGGCTGTGCGAGAACCACCCGCTGTCCTTGGTGGAGCAAGTGATGCCCATTGTCGACCTAATGGCCATCAGCTACACTCACTTCGCCAAGCTGAGGGATTTCATCACCTTAAAACTTCCCTCCGGCTTTCCCGTGAAGATTGGTGTGCAGTTCGTATATATGCACACACACACACACATATTTTACGCGTGTATATAGCTCTTCTCGACGTGATATTGGGCTGTTTCAGCACGCTATCCGACGTTTCGTTCCACGTGCCGGGGGGCTTCGGTTGTCCAGTTCTTGAAGAAGCTATCAGCCCTCGGAGCGAAACATTGGACGTCATACCGAACAACAACGCAGGGCAACCCGAGAGCGCAGTGAAAGGGCTACAAAGCACAACAACGAAAACCTATGCAGTGTGTATCCAAATATTTACTTTTACGTAGTTAAGTCTTGGTTATCCATGGACGGATTAAATGGGTTGCAGATTAACAATACTCATGAAAAATAGGAACAGAAGTATAAAGAATTGCATCTTTCATGCCTTTTTTTAAATTTCGCTGCTGATTATTAGCCGTTCCTTACTTGTGACATGATTGATTTAGGAAACAATAAAAAAAAACATTACGGTCTGTTATCAGCCCCATTATACGTACATTAAAAGGCATCACTCACTTGCACTGTCACCCACAATTTGCATGTCACTCACGAGGTTTAATCTCAAGCAAAATGTAGCGGTCAAGAGCACAAATTATTAGTAATAAAGTTTTTTTGGGGTTAGATCGCACAAATATAAATTTGTCATTAACCCGCCCACCACCCGACACAGCCATTTAGTAAGGTTCATCACGTAGACAAATATGTCAATTAGCTACTACTTCAGCCCACTGGTGTGTTGGAGAGTAAATCCGCAATATTTACATTTTGAGTACGACGTTTCGCTGGTAATTACATCCAGCATCATCGGTGCGATTTTGCCAGAAATGTTCCGACGTACCAAACAAATACTATACACTAGAAAACCAATTAAAACTAAACAGACGTTAAATATTATTGGTTCTTTCGGTAAAGTCACGTAGAAGGCAAACAATAAAATAATAATTTGTGTATCCAATATATTTACTTTTATGTAGTTAAGTCTTGGTTATCCATGGACGGATTAAATGGGTTGCAGATTAACAATACTTTATTATGTTATTGTTTCCCTTCTACATGACTTACCGAAAAAAAACCAAGAATATGAATCCCTGCAGTCACGAAAGCTTTAAATACAAATTTAGACGTTAAATATTTCGTAAGGACACGGAATTTAATTTGAGAAGCACACAAGGACATTGTGCAACAATAAGACAGCTTTACAGACGTGTTCTTCGTCTTGGTTTTAAACAACTTTATCTTTTAATCTGCTGCCACCGCGTGGCAACTCATCCCTCCGTGGTGTCGGCATGGCCTTTCGCGACAATGAACCGGCACGCATTTAACTTGGCGTTGCCAGCAAAAGAGGTTATCATGGTCTTGCTCCCGATGACAAGCGTGCGACGTGCTCTCTCGGACTGCCGACGCCGGGACGAAGCTCCGCAGTCCTAACCGGAGCGCCGCGGCTTCCGCTCTCCCCGCAGAGATTCCACTTTTTCATATTCTGAACGCCCGCATCACCTTTGGGAACCTCAACGGCAGCGGTGACGAGGCGCTGTCGGCATGCGGCAGCCCCGACAGCGACAGCCAGTCGTCACCCAGCAGCGACAATTCCAGCCTGGGCAGCATCAACAGCTCAGGGAGTGAGAGTTGGCACAAGCCCCACATGGCATCCACACGTGGCAGTCGAAGCCAGCCAGGTCTTTCTCACCTTCTTTCCTTCTGCCTTGCTCAGACCGAGTAACTTTTTTTTTTATTTAATAGATTTCCCCTCAATTTTATCCCGATTATGCTGTCGGTATCGTGTCACGAATTGAAGAGTCAATTCTGATCTCTGGCGGAGCCGTTCAACCCTTTGTGTTCTCTATGTGGATATCAGAGATCCCTGCAAGTAAACTCTGGTTTTCAGAGTAGAATGCCTCACTTTCTTACTCATTCGGCATATGGCAGTCACGTTAACTGCATGCCATTCAAATAGATATTTTATTTTCGAGCTGGACTTTAGCCAAATGAATAACTAATTTAACTTGTGTTTTGTGCAGTCACTGGTGACCTGGCTGTGAGACCATTAACTCGCTAAACTTAAGAACTCGGTTTAATCACAGGCAACTAGCAGGATTAAAACCAACCCAGGATGTCAGCAGTGCCAGCTCTGCACTGACCTCCGAGCCACCCAGCCAGCTCAGGTCTAGTGACGTTAAATAACATTGACGCGTTATGTACTCTGTACAGCACTTCCACTGGAGTGAAGTGTCGGTTGGTGGTGGTGCAAGCGCATTGCACCCACCCTCACAAACAATGTTTGGGTGCCCCCCACATTCATGAACCCCTCGTAAGATTACAGAATAGACATGCACAGCAGAGAGGTGTAATGAGTGAGAGAAATTAGTGAATAGACCTCTATTATAAGACTTATTACAATAGATATTATAATCGACTTATATTTCACTAAATTTACTTTCATGGTGTTGTCAGGATGATTATCTTTTTTTTATTTCTCCGACTTTGAGCTTGGTTTTTGGCATACCCCTGTTAATTATTCTGGAACCTGCGGGGCCTCGATTGAGCCTCGCGGGAGGCCCAAGAGCTTGTTGCGAGATTGCTTTGTGCATCGTTCCGCCACCGATGTCGACTGCCGAGGTTCCCCCGAGGATCGGGATAAAACATTCTGGGGTAAAAAAAAAACAACGACTCCACAGTCTGTGTTCTGTTGTCATGTTATTAAAGCAGTGGTTCTTGACCTTAACTGCATCCTTGCACCCCTTTGGTTCTCAATCGTAAAAAAAAGTAAAATGTGAATAAAAACATAGGTTTGGTGAAAGAAAGTAGTCATACTTCCGTGCCCGTGCTTCGTTTTTTGTTTACCATGATTTAACTTCTAAACAAATCTGGCACGTCTTGCACCCCCAGGGGGTGCGTGCACCCCAGGTTAACAACCACTGGCTTAAAGCGATCATTATTACAGTCTTGAGACTCTGCTTGAGGGTTTCCTGGGGTAAATAAAATACTTAAGCAGGGGACGCATTGAGCATGAACACAGACTGAGAATACTTTCCACTTTCATCATCAGAACTCCCTTGTCCGAAGGTGGTGAAGGTGCAGCCCTGGCATTCTTTGCTCACGCCACTGCTGGCAGAAGAGCCTCTATGAGAGGGAGCTCCAGAAAGACAAAAACACCCATCTCTCTGAAGTGCATTTCGGATGGTATTGGGAGAGAGAGAGAGCCCCTCTGTACAACTTACTTGGCACCTTAAACTGATGTAATAATGTATGTTTTAATGTAAAGTTATAAATATTTACAATAATGTTGCATCTGAAACATTGACACGTGCATCTTTTAGTTTAAGGCACTTAATGCTTGTGTGCACAAACTGTGAAACACAACCAGAGACTGGAGTGGACTGAGTTAGGATTCGTATATTCAAAACTTCCCTGCTGGATAAACAACAACAACAAACAGGAGCAGGGGATAATCTGTGAGTCTTCTTGCTCATGGCTGGATGAAAAGCGGCTCATATGTCTGTCCAGATTAGTTGACCAGAGATTGGCTTCAGTTGATGTGCAATGGATTGTTTCAATGCCTCAGATGAATGGAGTACACATTGATTCGTTGCTGTGTAGTCGATGGTCTGGTCGGCGTTTCCACAATCACACTCTGGGCACTCTATGAATAGTTACTTGCGATGGAAGCGGTGGTGGACTTAGCTGCTGTGAGGTGCGTAGATCCGATTTAATGCAGACTATTGTTTTGCCGGTAAATTAAATCCTGAACGTTCTTTAGAGGGGGTCAGCGATCGGGTGCTTTTCGAAATTATTGCCGTTTTCCCAGATATATCACCATTCCTCCGAGGCACGAAAAAAACAAACATCTGCGAGTGCTCCAGCTGTGGGGATGGGACGCAAATGTCACTTGCTCTGCCCACAGCCTCCACCGCTGCTCACATTTGTTGGTGTATCTGCAGCGCCGGTGTCGGCCTGGGTGATGGACGACTCCGTGTTCGAGGTGCCCAAGGGCTACACGGTGGCCGGCCAGGCCAAGAGGCAGCCCATGCGTGACGAGGACGACGCACTGCTTCAGTTTGCGATCCGCCAGAGCCTGCTGGAAGCTGGCACGGAGTCCGACCAGGCACGCCGCTCGCCATGGATCGCACTGTTGATTGTTTTTTGTCTTTCCCCAATCAACCAAAGAGTATGGATCCTTGCAGTCACGAAAACTTCAAATCTAGAGTGGTTGGCTAAGTTTACACGTTTATAGAACTCCTGTCCATCCGAGTTACACTCATCGCTAACTGCGGGATGAATATTTTTTAATATCTATGGGACCTTTTTGCCGTATCAACAATTATGAAAAATGGTAATAGGTTTTACCCTTTTCTGGCAATAAAGCAGGTATTAAGATGTTCATACACCAAATAGATACTTTTTGCAAGGCATCAAGTCTGCATTAACCACACGTACTTCTGGCAAAACATGCAAACAGATATGCTCTGATAATTATATGCATTGTCTTTGACCTCGACCCAGCTATTAATGCTCCCATACTTGCATTGTCTTTGTACTATTTCCCCTTTGGCATTCTCTGGTCTAACACTGGTAAGACTAGGCCTAGTCTCTGGTCTAACACTGGTAAGACTAGGCCTAGTCTTTGCTCTAGTCTTACCAGTGTTAGACCAAAGATTAGGCCTAGTCTTACCAGTGTTAGACCAGAGACTAGGCCTAGTCTTACCAGTGTTAGACCAGAGACTAGGCCTAGTCTTACCAGTGTTAAACCAGAGACTAGGCCTAGTCTTACCAGTGTTAGACCAGAGACTAGGCCTAGTCTTACCAGTGTTAGACCAAAGACTAGGCCTAGTCTTACCAGTGTTAGACCAAAGACTAGGCCTAGTCTTACCAGTGTTAGACAAGAGACTAGGCCTAGTCTTACCAGTGTTAGACCAGAGACTAGGCCTAGTCTTACCAGTGTTAGACCAGAGACTAGGCCTAGTCTTACCAGTGTTAGACCAAAGACTAGGCCTAGTCTTACCAGTGTTAGACCAAAGACTAGGCCTAGTCTTACCAGTGTTAGACCAGAGACTAGGCCTAGTCTTACCAGTGTTAGACCAGAGACTAGGCCTAGTCTTACCAGTGTTAGACCAGAGACTAGGCCTAGTCTTACCAGTGTTAGACCAAAGACTAGGCCTGGTCTTACCAGTGTTAGACCAGAGAATGCCAAAGGGTGAACAGTACAAAGACAATGCAAGTATGGGAGCATTAATAGCTGGGTAGAGCAGTCAAAAACAATGCATATAATTATCAGACCATGTTTGCTTGCATGTTTGCCACAAGTACGTGTGGTTAATGGAGACTTGATGCCTTGAAAAAGGTTATCTATTTGGTGTTTGAATATTTCTTAGCAATGCAATACTGTTGATTTAATTCGTTGTCTTTCCAAGTCAACATCAGCGTGTTTGGCTAAGCTTACGTTTATAGAACTCCTGTCCATCCACGTTACACTCATCGTTAAACTAGTGGACGAATATTTTTGAGCAATGCGGTACTAAGGGTTGTAGTTTATCTGTCTGGCGTCATCCTCATAATTGAGGGTTGATGTCCATGACAGATTCTTTCCATATTTTGTGATCGTCATTTCTCTCGAGGAAAGTTCTGTCCAACTGCTCACATTGTCCTGTTAACTGGTCCATATCCATCCTCTTCCCTTCTATTGTCCCTTACAGAATCATCTTATTATTGATATCTCCAGCTATGACCCTCTTAGGATACGTGCCGTATAAGCCACTTTGCAACCTTCACATCGGCCTTCAATATTTCCTGTTTGTAGCCATTCTGTCTCGGCACATCTTCATTCTTATTCTCATCACACCAGCTTAGTCGTTTTATTCCTTCCCTCTGTAACACCACATTTGAAATGCAATTAGTATTTTAATTTGTTAAAAAGGTGCCTACGCTTTTGATTATTTGTTTGCTTTTGTATCACGCCTGTCATTATACAATTAAGGAAAACTTAGACTTAATATCCAATGGTAAAAGGAAGACTTTAGAAATTCCTTTGTCAAGGCGCTTTGTTTCCTCTCACACAGCTTAAAGGTCGTGATCTGAACGTGGCTTTTTCACTCCAGCGCTGTCCTACCAGACAGTCTCGTCCCTTCACCTGATGAAGGCCGCTTGTGTTGTGGCCGAAACGTCGTGAGAATATTATTGTGTTATTTTATTTTATCAATTTATTATTTTATTCTCATTCTACGTGACTTTACCGAAAGAACCAAAGAAGATGAAGACTTTAGACTTCATGCCCAGGGGACAACACCCTGCATCCTTCACTGAGGACACATCTCCCATTTGTTGCAATTGCGAGTGATCTGCATCCAAAACAGTAACTGGATGCGAGTACATTAGACCCAACAGTACAACAGTAACATCTTCTGTCATGCTCTACCTTAAAAAGTGTATTGTTCTGGTCTTCAAATTAAATCAATGTTACAGTCGACGTTAATTTCAGCTTCTCTTCTAAACAGAATTACTGCAACTGTGACAGATTATTGTCAGAAATGAAAAATAATGGGTGTGTAATTATTTAACCTTTCAACAAATAATGATCGTATCTCTTCTCTCTCTCTTGTTTTTCCAGTGCATGTTTCTTTCAGTGTGTTTGTTTAAACCTCTTCGTGGAGAACTTTTAGTTTGATGTAAACCAAATAATTAATATCGGCTGTCAATTTCAGAACTGGTTATTAAATCAGAATGCTGCCAGTGCACAGGTAGTCTCTGCTTGACAAGTGCAGGTGGTAATCACGTTGGATGGCATTATGTAATTTAAAAAGAAACTTTCAGGACTAGCAGACATCACCTTATTACATAAGAGCAGTGCATTGCGGAAGAGTGCGGAAAGAATGTGGGCACCGAACAAAGTGAGCGATTTTTTTTTCCTGCTCAAGTGATTATCAAGGTGGTGGTCATCTCCAGTGTACAGCCCTGAACCCGTGGTAAAAATTCCACTTTACCATGGTGGGGTCGAGTATCCTTACATTAAATAAAAAAACACTGTTGATTTCCCCACAACGAAGTGGTATTCATTGCAAATCGACCCCAGAGGGATGATGGGCCAAGTCAACCTCTAACCAGGATGATTTTAATCGGCTACCGTCCAATTGAGATCTGCTCGCTCAACTGTTGCCATGCTATCTGGCACAGTTCACACAAATACATGATATGCAGGAGCAGTGCGACGTGGAAGGCTGGGAAAGAACTCCGGGACACTAGGATCACCTGATGCTACATTTAAATGACATTCTGTAGAAATATTCTGTCGTTCCAGGTTACCATTTGGGAGGCGCTCACGAACAGCAAGCCCGGCACCCACCCACTGTCTTGCAACGAGGGAAACCATGAGAGGTACTGTGCCATTTGTGTGACCTCTTACCTTGTACAGCTCCGCCCATCTCGTCCACACTGTGCTCAAGCACCACAACTGAGGGTCAAAACACTTTTCTCTCTGCTTCGTCCCCAACATTGCCAAAAGCTTTTTGAAATCCCTCCCACGGGTCTCTCCCCTCCCCCCCCCGAGCGCTTTATAACCTTTGCTCAAGTCAAGGAGCGTGGGTTTTATTCTCTTATCGATTACAAATTTGACATTGCCGTTGTGTTGTTGGCCTTTGAAGCCTGCACGCAGCAACTGTGTTTACAATAAAGGGGTGGGGGGGGGGTAAATCCACTGCTGCATGAAGGCCTCCTCTCCACGTAGGTTTACGGGGGTTGTTTGACCATACTTCACCACGCACTGGTCAGCGCAGGTTAGTGGAGCAGGAGGGGGAGGGGGGCACAACTTAAAACCCCCCTCCCTCCATCCACCCAGCAATATACAGTCAAAGGTACTGTACGAACAAAGTCCATCGACAGATTTGGACCAGAGTGTGGGTCCTCCTCGTGCCTCTTCTCGAGACGTTATTTCCAGTGTGGAAGACCCAGGCCAAACATCACCCAGAGAGAGAGAAACTCTCTCGAGTTCCATCCAGCAGAGTCAGCCAGCAGTGGCGTGAGACCAAGACAAATCGCAGGGGCTTGCACCTTAACCCTTCATAACCGGTGCCCGCGACACCTTGTGCACAGGCTCCGAACAAAGGCTCAGCAGGTCAAGAACAGCGCGGCTTGTACGGCGGATGGCAGTGTCAGGAGCAGCAGCAGCAGCAGCAGCGGTGGCTGCAGCAGTCCTATCCCAAAAACCAGCCGCAGCCGAATCCTGTCGGCAGGTGGCAGCAACAGCCCTTGCCGCATCTCCTCGTGGGTCAGCAACTACAGCCCCTGCAAGCTGCACTTTCGAAGCGGCGGCGGCGGCGGCGGACGTAAAATATCCATCGTGGCCAACAGCAGCTGCGCCCGCGTTCTGACTGCAGCGGGCAGCGCCCAGAGCAGCCCTCGCCGTGTGTCGCCGGCAGAGGGCGGCACGAGGGACGGCGGCCCCCGCCGAGCATCGATCGAGGCCCGCAGCTCCAGCAGCTCCAGCAGCAGCAGCAGCGTCCAGGAGCTGCCCACGGAGGGCAGCGCGGGCAGCTCGCGCCGGGTGTCCGCGGAGGGCAGCGGTGGCGTGAGCCCGGCGCGGGGCGGTGGCAGCGGCGCGCGGGACCCGGGGCACGCCGGGCAGCGGAGAGCAGCTGACGCGGAGTAAAGGAGGGGGCAGCCGTTGTGGGATTTGAGGGGCCCGAGTAGCCCCGAGGTGTCCCGTCTAAAGAAATGTGCTCACCCACTGCCCGTGGTTGGCCTTTACTGATATCGCGCTCCGCGTTTTATGCCGCAGCTCTGGTTATTTTCTCGGTGTTTGTTGTTGTTGTTGACAATCACGTTAACGTTTTCACAATAATATAACGACAACGTGGCTTTTCAATGCTGTTTCGTTTCTTACGGCACTTTGAGCCAACAAGCACTTCTCGAACCGTTTGTTGTAGTTCGCACTCGTTGCTTTGTAAAAAAAAGATAATATAATAATTCTTGATAGAGGTGAAATGCAGGTGCGTTGACACCCCCAGCGTGCGTGTGGGTGTGTAAGTAACCCCCAGTAGACTGACCACCGTCATAAACATTCACATTGGCCACCTTTTCCTGACTCCCACGATTGTCCCTCTTGTTTGAGGTACCAGGTCCTGTGAAATCTTTAAGTCTACGGACAAGAAGGATGACATGATCTTGATTTGAAGCTTTCGTGACTGCATGAATCCATACTCTTTGGTTCTTTCGGTAAAGTCACGTAGGTAGAAATTAAACAATTTTGTTTTATTTCTACCTCCGTGACTTTTATCGAAAGAACGAAAGAGTATGGATGACATACACACACCACTAAAAAGAAAGACACTACACAGGTACCAGATTCTCTGGATTATAACATGTACTTACCCCCCCTTTGTATTTAAAAGCAAAGTTTGGGGGGGGGGGGGGGGGGTGGCGTGCGCTATGTATTTGAGTCGGTGTGCGCTTGTCTATGTGACCAGATTCATCTGACCTTTTTTGACAACGGGCACACGTTTTTTGGGCGAGGCTTTCTTCCCGGAGCGTCCAGTAGTCCAGAGAATTACAGTCGTGCACTCTCATGATGCGATATTGTGAGATATATCCTCCTTCGTGCAACGTCCTGTGCTTTCTACCTCGGAAGGGTGACAACCCGATTCAATTCTCAAGTCCCCATCTCCAGGAATTTTGTATCTTAATTAAAATCCACCGTTGTCTAAATTTTCTAAACCCACTGTAGTTAAATCCTGTGTGGTACATTGGGACTGTTTAGCCACGAGTCATGGACCTCAGTGTCTCCAGCCTTAGTGGAAATCCTCAGCAGCACCACTAGGCACAACCAGCCTGGTGCCTCACCTGCAGAGCGAGTGGCTCGCAATCAGAAGGTATGAGTTCAGATCCTGGTTGGAGGTTGACTCGGCCCATCATCCCTCCGGCATCGATACAAGGAGTACCACTTTATTGGGGGAAGATAACGGTAGGCTTCTATGTACAGGCTTGCCCTTGCCATAATAATGAGGAATTTCCACCACTGGCTCTCGGCTGTAAACAGGAGATGAGCAACAAATAAATGCCTTGACTTTGACCACTGCTCAAACCACCTAACATACGTCGAGATATTGGGGTTTTGGTGCAAGTCCGTTGCAAAGCACCTCGCGTTTGCGATATAAAGTACTGTACACTGGAACTCAAAGCAACGTGGCAGCCACCTCTTTGAGCTAAATTTACATAATTAGATTTGCACTTATGTAATTGTAAAAAAAACCCGTTAAATATAAGGCATTATTGCGTAGTTAGTAGTAGTACATAGTGGTTTATTATTATTTGTTGTGGCTATTAGCATTTTTTGTTATGAATTATTGTACTGTTACCATGGAAAGCTGCAGTTATGTTACATTTACAGTGCTGATTCAGCGAGGGACTTTGCAGGGCAGTCCCACAAACTTCAGATGTACAGTATTTTAACCAGTTGGGATTGTTATTCAGATAAACCTATTATCTGTAAGAAAGATATGCTCCAACTACCGCAGTGTCGGACGTGCCGAGACGATCCAACTCTTTCATCCGTGCTGGGATGATACTGATGGTGCATTACGTGTTTTGTGTACGTGTCAACCCATTAATTAAATCCACAAATAAGCCATATTTTCTAAAACTACAATTACCTTCAAAGTGACACCCCCACGTGTTTCACGAGGATTATTTTGACTGAGGTCAAATTTGTGGAACCTCTCCCGATGCTTTATAACATGTACATGTTTACCATGCTCGTAATACCCTTTATACAATGCACCTATAAGGCTGACACTCGTAAGTAATTTCCGTATTCTGTCATGACATCAATAACATTGCACATAAAATATTCCTTTTTGTTCACTTTGATATTTTGGCTTCATCCCATAGCCAGCGGCAATTTCAGTAGCCGACAATTTAATTGGCTAATTAAGCAATTTGTAAGACATTCAAACAATAATTCCTGTTAAGCATCCCATAAAACCAACTGCCAGAGGTACTGCCGATTATTTACAGGGCTTCGCTGTGCCCTTAGCTGTCACCAGATTTTGTTTTTATTAAAAAAAAATCTATTTCAGGTTAAAACGAAAAAAATGTGTGTTTTAAATGTGTAGTTTACGTGCACTTACTCCTACCATTACCACACTTATGCTTCGTTAAACGCCGTTGGGGTTATGCACTTGTGTTCTTTTTCTAAAGCCACAATGGAACGATCTTTACAAACACTTGCCATGTCCTCAAACAGCGATGCGACGATGCATTGAATCATCAATTCATATAGATTCTTAAGTTGACAAAACATCCATCGAATCACGTTTGCAAGAATGTTTTTCCCCTCCCGCCCCCCATGGCCCCATGTGTATATGTTGTATGTAATGAGTTCATGTAACCCCCTGCAGTGACTCGTAGCCGCTACATTCATCACAATGCATCCAAGAATCTCCAGAATCGTGACAATGTGCGCAATCATCCTGACAATTATTAGAATTGTTACGCCTTCAATGGCAGCTTTATGAACACGGCCTATGATCACCTACAATAATAACATCTTTGCCAGTGGTTGATCATATGTGGGTGTCTATAATTATTTCTAAATCAGAACATTCTGTTCATAAAAATCGGATCCACATCAACTGCTCCAATTAACAAGCCACTGCTTTTCTTTAAGCCTATGCCTATAACCTAACTGATCGTGGGTCTCAGAACATCGTGTACATCACGATCAATCTACTGCCGGATGAAGGGTTGCATTATCAAATAGATCCTGCAAAATACTTAATTGAATATAATAACAAAACAAATTTCACAATTATAATAAGTTAATGTTCGATTGAAACTCAGGAGGTGCTTTATGCTCGGAGCCTTCCCGACTATGGAGAGGAATCTGACTTGTTGGAAATAGATGCAGTCATCCAAGCTCTCACAAACAGAGGCCTAAAATGAAATATATATGAAGCAGTTATAAAAATGAAAGCATTACACGGAGATATAATTAAGAAAGCAACAAATTTAATATCTGAAGCTAAGTCCGACAAAGGCATGATTATATCAAAGTTATTGACACAGACATTTATAAATACCATGTGCACAGCCCAATGCTGTACAGATATCTGCTGTGCCACATATAACAGGTGGGATAATTCAATCCCCCTGGCAATTTTGTGAATGGTCACAATTCGATTAAAGAAGCAATTCCTTTTCAGGACACTTGATGGATTTGTTTTGGAATGTGTCCTGCAAAAAATATTTTCTGCACACGATTTCTGATCCGAGAGAGAACAACTGTGCGAGGTATCAAATGGGACTGTTCGTCTCATCACGGGGTACCGATAGCACATTTGGAACAAATTGTAAAGAAATAAAAAAAACACCAAAAGTTATTTCTTGAAAAAAAATACTAAGTTTTGTTTAACTTTAAGAATAATAGCACCACTAAGTGCTTGCAGGAGTGAAATAAACGCCACTAAATAAAACAATCGCAAAAAAATAAAAGCTTTGATTCTTACAGACGATTCAGTGCACATGTGAGCCCAAGAAATCTATATTAAATGGATGATTCGATTCATCATCGTTCCACCTCTACTACGTGCGCCCGCACACTGCCACGTTTTTATAGCTGGAGAGCATTTACGTTTTGGGTAAGACCGCGTGGTCCGATCCTAAAATGTTTCTCTGCCACGCACGCCTCTTGGGTTACCGTCACACAGCCAGGCAAGATTCACGCTACAGGTCTGTGGGGTGATAAAGAAATGTAAATATTGGTCGGGACGAAAATCTCGGAGTAAAATCTCTTACTCAGAGCATACGAAGCTTACCCACAATGCCTTTTTAATGCTGCTCGATATGTAAGATTAAGTAAAAAAGTGAGATTGTTGCATCAAATTCGTTTTGAGATTCTAAAATATTGCACAACTTGGAATTGGATGTGGCGGCTTTTGTAAACCGTTTTGTTTTTTGTTCAACGTGGCTGAATGCTATTCGGTAGTAACTGTTGCATAATAACCAGTCGAAAATACTAAAGACATAAATTGTGTGTCTGGCAGAATTTATGTACGACCTGCGGTGGCATTTCTACACTGTTTTGTGTGAGGAAAAAAAGTTATCCGCACAGTGTCAATTTCGCCGAATGAGTAACTCTACATTCGTACTATTGATGGAATAGTTAATACACCACAAGAGTGAATGTTTTGTAGAGTTCGACGTATATTAAAAAAAATCGTAACATTAACAGTTACACTTACAAATATTTGGTATATGGGGGAGCTAAGAGGAGTCTAAAATCTAGGGTGGTAAGACTGCCAAAGTATTACACTGAATACCACAAACTGACCCTAACCAACACAAGCAACTGTTATCATATGGTGGAAAAAAATAACTCGCACTCGTCAACAACACTGCCTATGTTCGGCAACGTTTCAGGAAATGGCCCTTCTTCATAGCACATATGGCAATTTCCACAAAGCAATGTCTCCACAATTTCGCCTTCGATATTCCAGTGACAAATTTGGACATGATCGTTGGACAACAAAACCAGTGGTAGATGTCAAAAATGAAACAGCACAAAGTATAACGAATACAATTGTTTCGGTCTCCATAAAAGCCAGTGTTTTAAAACACTGCATGAATTTTACACTTCAATAAATATCGATGCATAAAACAATTGCATGACAAGCAACGCCTCACTTCAATTTCACGCCCTCCGACATAATTCTGCGGCCACCACCGGTTTTGTACTTTTTTGCACTGTGGTTATTAAAGCACACTTGCACCAGGGACGTGACTGTTATTTGGTTTTATGGCTATCCGTTTTGCGTTCATCCGTCACGCGAAATATTTTGTTAACCGTCTTAGCTTAAGTGATTTTTGATGTACACATTTCAATCGTTGGCCAGTGCTTAAGCCAATTTTTTTTTACTTTAAACTTTTGTGACTGCAGGAATTTATATTCTTTGGTTCTTTAGGTAAAGTCAAGTAGATAATAATAAAAACCACGACGTTTCGATCCCAACACAAGGGGGTTATAGCCTCTAAAGGCAAACGCTTTATAAAGGTTTAAAATGGGCATAACCCAAGTGTCAGTAGCATGGGCGGGGCAGCTAATGTTAACGTGAGCGATGGTCAACGACGACGCTGGTGGTGGGTTTCCACCAATTAAAGGTCTGCAAGGTAAAAATTAGCATGTTAATGTAGGATCAGAGAGCAGCCTCCACGGCGAGCGTGCTGAGGTGGCTATGTTAATGTGAGAGATTAGCACGTTAATGTAAGATCGCAGAGCCGCCACACGGGGAGGTCGGCGTGGCAGAGGTGGCTGTATTGGTGCGAGAAATTTTACAGCAGGGGCGGAGCCAGGATTTTCAGCCCGGGGTGACATTCAACAAATTTTAATTTCAAGAATGATTAGAGAGTCGGGCTGTTGAACTAGACGCCATCGGTTGGCGACACACTCTGACAATGCAGTTGCACGGAGTCCGCCAGACCGAGTGTCGTACACTTATACGCAGAATGTTTCAGATTTTCGATTTTTTTCTGGGGTGACAATTGTCTACCCTGTCACCCACCTGGCTCCACCCCTGTTTAACAAGTTAAATTTTTACCTGGATGCCCTTTAATTGGTGGAAACCCACCACCAGCGCCGTTGTTGACCATCATTTACATTAACATTAGCTGCCCCGCCCATGCTGCTGACACTTGCGCTACGCTAATTTTAAACCTTTAGAGTTTAGAGGCTAACCCCCTTTTCCGGATGACGACCGCTTGTGTTGCAATCGCAACGTCGTGGTTTATATTTATTATTTTTTCTATCTACGTCACTTTTCCGAAAGAACCAAAGAATATACTTTTTTAATTTAAAATCCAACCACTTCACAATAAAATGTGGCACACTTGAAGTAAATGTGTGAGTGCTATGTTTATAATCAACGTTTCACTTTGGAAAATAAACATTTTTGCAATGCCATTTCAGTTTCCGTCTGGGCTCTGCTGTCAATTTGAATTGTGTGACTGTCCAGTGTGAAGGTGTACACGTTAGGGCCACTGCGGTCCATCCCACACACAGACACGACAGATAATTCAATCCGTGAGGGTAGGGGAAAACCGTGGTGTCCCAAACAATAACTTTATTGAAGACCTTGAAGAGAACCGCAGATCACCGTCACCAGTGTGAGATTCTTGTTTGGAGACCCAATGAAGGAACAGCTCTGAAGGACAGTGGGGACCGCTCTCAAGAATCGCGTCCCAACAACAACACCACGTGCAAGGCGGTGTGGCTATTCCCTACTCGCCAAACTGCGAATGCTGTAAGGTACAAACCATAAGGCGTATATCACCGATGACTGCCCTAATACAAACGCATGTATTCTGACGTAACAAGCGGACTCCACTGAGCGATGTATGTATGTATGTTGAACTTCTTACGCACCGTACGTGGCCAAACGTGGTAATCAGAGGTGTGGGGGAATGGCAACAAACTAAACACAACAAATTGTTCTAAATAAATTAGTTTTCAATTCAGATTTAAAAGTGCATAGGTTCCAGTGGCTTCCTAATAAATACAACAGGCATATTCTGATAGATCGAGCCGTCTATTCCACTAAGCTATCCCAATACTAAACACGTACTGTGGTGGAACGAGCGGACTCCACTCAGCTACCTCGGATGCAATGGAATGGCTCAACATTCAACATACAATTGTAGCTTGGTGCTTTTTTTTTCAAATCCCATACGAAAGAAGGTGAATCCATTATTAAAACGGGCAGACTATCTGTAAATATATACGAACGTCTACATTAAACATTGACTAAAATATACACGAACTTCAAACAAGCACTGTACTAACAATCGGATTGCATAGCTACAATTCAGTATCGAGGAGACACTTTCAACATTACTGCACAGCACACGTGATTGGCTGTTAAATGTAAAACATAAATGTGCAAACCTGCTGCCAATCGAACAACTGGCATACCCGTGGATTTACACAGATGGACGGGACAGGCTGGAGTGGCGGTGGATTTAAGAAACTTGCTCATCACTTCAACTGCATAGGAAGTCATAAATAATTGCACCACGTCATTAGCCCTTGGTTTCTGTGTAGACTGGCAAACGAGCATTTTTTTATTTTTGTAAAATGTATTTTTTTTTAGTGGTCCAGGGACTTCAGACCCTCGGCTTAAACCATGACGAGGCAAGTCCGCCAAGAGCTATCAGTGGGTTTCGCTTGCATTTCCATTCCGAGATACTCGTAGAAAACGGTACCAAACAAATCGTTTTAAGTATTCTACACACCGAGCCGTGTGCTATTATATCTGAACTCGCCCCACTTATCATTGCCGACGTTTAGCCACGTGGAATCGGGGGGGGGGGGGGGGGGGTGTCTATCCCTTGATACTGGCACACACTCGCACGGTTGGCAAAGAGGTGCGTGGGCAAATTGCAACTTGGTGGCCGACAGTGAATTTCCATTTGGCCACCACCACCAGCAGCAGTGTGAGGCTAGTCCAGCGTGTATCTTGCGTGTGTACGTGTGTTGCTAAGAAGACGGCGTGAATGAGCCGACGGAGGTTGCCAGGGGGGGGGGGGGGAAGTGCAAGTGGCGGGCTGGGGGGGAGATCGAGAGAGAGAGGGGGGGGACGATCGCTGAGAACGCAAAACAGACGCACGGACGCACGCACGCACGCACAACCGCGCCAAGGCACACGGGGTGGGGCGCGCGCCACGATTAGAGGGCATAGCCGCCGTCGGGCAAACATCACCACCAACCACCACCACCACCACGAAATACCATCATCTCCATCCCCCATATCCCATCACCATCGCCCATCACTCTCCATCCGGCGGAACGGCGCGTCGCCCGGCGTGCGTGAGGCGCGTCCGTCCGTGCGTCGTCACCAGGGACACAGCAGACAACAGAGCCGCGCGCTGGGATTATCATCCGCGGCGCACGGCTCGCCTCTCCTCCCCCATCCACCAACCGCACTCGCCAACCCAGCCTCGGCTACAGCCAAACTGTGGTGGCTGCGTAACCGTCAAGTGGCCCGGCAAGCGCAGTGATTCAGGTAAGAAGATTTGCGGCGTTGTGTACAATGTTATTGCTATTATTATTATTATTGAATGGAACGGTGGCTTCCGCCGGTCAGTGAACTTGCACTCCAAATCCGGCGCAACCTCAGATCGGTCGTGCCTCTCTGTGGCCATCACGAGCCAGTCCTGGCCTCCACCCCGTGTGTGTGTGTGTTGAACTTCTTTCGCACCGTACGCAGCCAACCGTGCTAATCTCCTTCAGCAACTCACACCGATCATCGTGGTGAAGTATGGTCAAAAACCCTCATGACTGGCACCTTGGCGAGGCCCTTCATCAAACAGTGGATTGACAGGTTTTTTTATATACCGTATATACTTTTTTAAAATTACAAATAAGCCTTTTTGAGTATAAGAAACTGCAATAAAATGTACATTTCTTAACAAGTAATGGGATACACTCATACAATATGTAGGCCTATTGTGTGAATACATGCAGGCGTGGTATTAGCATTAGTCCAGCTTTCGGACAGGGAATGCAAATCTAGATACGCGTGTGAACGTGCCTTGTAATGCAATACATACATTATGCTGTGGAAACAAAGCGCGCAATATTAGTACGCAGTTTACGTTGGACCCAACAGTTTCGGGTATGGCGCAATCAGCTCCATTTCTGTTCGTGTGCCGTTTCTTCCTTGGCTCACACGCACGCCGTGATCTGGCCCGGCGGTCGATAATACAGTGTGTGTGTCCAGACAACTCGCTGCTCCAGCACCTACACATGTTGATATATGGGGGAGCAACATCTCGGTTTTGGTGTCCCATCTGACAATATTCCCCGGGGCCGTAGGAATATGGGATTTACACCGCTCAGCTCAGGGATGTAAAGAGGAGATGGACCACCGCCCCAGTTATTTTTTTTTGTCCCCGACACCCACTGTGAATTTTCCTGGCACGAGAACTGAACAATCCTTGGACGGTGAAATCGGAAACCACAGCGACCAAGAGTATTTCACTGCCCCTTTTGTCAATAACCCTCCTGGATGTTGGCCTCCGAACAACTTTTGGTCTTGTGGGGGGGGGAGGGGGGTGTTTGGCCATACTTCACCATACTGGTCTGTGTGGGTTGGTGAGGGGGTTGGTGAGGGGGGTTGGCCCTGCGCCAGACTTCGCTGACAACTGATGTTAGCCGCGACTTGGAAAGGCATGAAAGAAATGCAGGTCGCCGAGTACGTAGCGCAGCACACTGATCACCAAGCCCCCCCCCCACCCATCGATGGACACTCGCTCCCAAGTGTCATCGCTGTCTTTGAAATCGCTTTTGTGTTAGTCCCAGATGCTCACTGTGTCCATAAAAACCTTCTAGCTTTACACATAAATTATTTACAAAGGCTAACGGATCGCACGCGGTTATCAGGTTTCCAGCTTATGAACTAGTTCATAAAGCCTGTCTTTGCCAGGCAAACGTTTGCAATACATATAATAATGAACCTATGATATTTTTTTTATTTGTATCGACGATCGGACACTAATGTGTATTTTTTCCACAGAAAATAATTGTTGACGACTTGATTCAACTTGTTATATTTAAAAGACGTATCCACCGGAAACCGCTCAATTTAAAGATTCCATTCTTTTTTTATGAGAAAGAACAAAAAATAATTAGCTTAATAGTCTATGGGGGGAAGCTCCTATATTTTACCGCTTTCGAATTATTCAGATTTCAACATCGTAAAATGTGTATTTTTTAGGTAAAAAGCGCTTGAATATGAAATATCTAAAAAAAAAACAAAGATGGAACAA